ACCTACTCTAGCCCTGGTTCTGAGTACCTGGGCGAGCTCCGCATGACTGCATCTCAACAGGGGCTTAATCTCATAGCCAGGGAACACCGCTACGCCTTGAAAGCGATACCAAGCAGGTCTCGCCCTTGGCCAGAACCAATCGGAGACTGCGGCGAGAACTGTTCCGTATCCTGGCAACTGGGGATCCCTTGCCGCCATACGATCTACTGCAAATTGGAAGCAGGTGAGTTCCTAAGGAGGTGGGATGTCCACCCACGGTGGCATCTACGGGAGCCTTCTTCACGGGACCCTTACCGCCGAATCCTGGATCCCAGGATCGCAACGAGCCTTCGTGGACGACCGAAGAATACGGTACAGCCTGTCCCTACGAGTATGGTGGTTAATCGAGCGGGTAGCCGACGCCGAAAGAGTCAGACAGTGACGGGCAAGAAGACGGCCATCCTCAGGCCGGGCAAGACGACAGGCGTTCGGGCTACTGGGCGCAGAAGTCGGCCGAGCGTACGGAGGCAACGGTCGCAGTGGGAGCTCATAAGTGATGACGAGAGGCAAGCGCCGCGACCAAGCTCGACTGGTCGTTCGGGTTCCCGTAAGCCGCCCGCTGCCTCGGCGAACTCGACTGCACCGAACCCGCGCAGCGAGACAGGCATCAGTGAGTGTGTTATTGTTCGGACGAGCGAGAGGGTGACTAGATCCATGGCATCTTCGCAGGGTACGTTGGAAAGCTGGCCATCCTCGCGCCTGTAACGGACTAACGGTAGGTTCTGACTGTGCACATATGTCGATGTCTGTTGCATAATTTCTTCTCGAATTCAGTAGTGATGACAAGGTTATCAGATTAGCGGTAGAAGATGTCATCTTAGTGAGCGAATGCGTGTGTTGTGGTGGTCTCACCGCCTTTGGTGGGCTGACGGGCCGTGTTGGTGGGGCTGGCCGGTCGTCCATACAGCCCGTGTAAGGCAGGGTGGTTTTCCATATATGGAAAGGTGTGCAATCCATACTGGAGTATCGCCCCACATTTATTGCAAGTATTGCAATACACCTTTCCATTCTTGGTCCGTGCGCATCCCGCAACAGCTCACCTATATGGTCTCGGCAAAACGTGCCAAACACGACATGAATCAATGAAAAATCAAGGAACAGTTAACGTGAACGTAATGACAGACGACCGGTCAAGGGGATGCCAAGCAGAAATTTGCTCCTTTTGCAGGAAACAGGCGTAGAAGTTGAGCCAGGATTTTACCCAAAATCTGGGGACCCGCCACCACCCTCGGCCCCTTGCAAGATATCGTTCTTGAGCCAATGCTTTAAACATTCTCCCTTTTCGACTTGTTTCGCGTCCAATTGGGCTCTTTCCCATGAGATTGTGCGACGCGCCCCTGAGAACACCCGCTCAGGTTCATCACTCATCGCCGGCATTGATAGGATGTCTATGGCCATTTGTGATAGCTTGGGCCATCGTTTTCTGTTGCTCTTGAAGCCACCATGACAAGGCCGTCGTCGGCGTAATGTCGTACGGATCACATGAAATGTAATCTTCGTACTCGTCCTGGCTTGACGGTCGAGTGCAATTCTGCAGGTTCCTTGAAATGCGATCAAACGCGTCAAGGTCCTCGTCATCATCGTCATCTAGTAAATGTTGCGAGAGGAGCCATCCACAGTGTCTCGGTATGTGAGCCAAAGGTCTTTGACCTGTTTGAACGCAGGTTTTGCCACTTCTTCTTCCAATTTGCCTGGATGTATGTTGTGCGATAGCTGGGATGAAGGATCAAGGCAGCTGCATAATAGGGCGATGCTTCTGTCTTGCTATAATATTTGTCAAAGACTTCCCACCCTCGTTTGATCCTAAAGGACAGCTCGGTGTCTGATTTGTACGTGACCTATTGCACCATCTCAGCGCTTGCACAAGGAGATCAGAGGAATGGAAGGCATGGTACCAGGGCTTCATCAAAGCATCGGATCAAGACGTCCATCGTGAAGAGCACTTTGTCCAGGGTCGCATGATCCTTGTGTTGCTAATGTCGCTCGGGCGAACGGTTGAAGGATCTTCTCAATTATTCGGAGCCGGGCCCAATCTTCCGGCAATAGAAAATCCGCAGAAAGATCTTCGAAATGATTCTTGGTGTAGGTGTCCAGAGCGCTGGCAGTTTCCTGCTGAGTGGCAACATGCAGCATCTGATACCAGCTATTCCACCTCGTACGATTGTCAAGTGGAATGCCCTCTCAGCGAGTTCCATAAACTCTCCACTGCGTCCTGATGAACTCCGGATGTTGACAACCAGGTTGTGGAGCTTACCAAGTGGTCCAAGGCGGCGAAATTCGGTGCGCTGCCTTGAACTTTTGCCAGGTCATCTGCGTCTTCGCATATTTCGCCCTCTTTCAAGTCAATAGAATTCTGGAACAGGAAAGCTTGAACTGCCAAGTTGATAACGTGGCCTAGGCATCGGAGGCGGTGAACTTCAGGATCCCATTTGACGCCCTCTTCCTTGAGATACGTGCTCACTGCCCGGCAGAGGGTGTCATTCGTGCTCGAATTATCCCCAACGATGCTTCCAAGGCGTCGCAGAATACCAAAGTCCCGCAAGATGGGAAGAAGTGTAACGAATTGCTCCTCCCGGAATGGTTCGCCACAGGCCGAAGTGCAAGGAGAGCTTTCCGTCGTGCTTCTTGTGCGTGGTCAACAAAGTGGGAGCAAACTCCGAGAAGAAGGAGCCGATTGGGGGACGTCCAAATGTCAAGCGAGAGGTGAACCTTGGATTTTGCTGACTGGAGCTTCATTCGCACGATATCCTTGGCCGACTGGAAATGATTGTCGATAATTCGTGGAATAGTCGAGTGGGCGGAAGGGAGATGGTCCTTCGCGACCGGGTTCAAGGTCGAAATGAAGAGGTGAAATTCGCGGATTCGACAATTCGATAAGGAAGGTTTCGTGCGACGATCAGCCAAGCTAAGGCTTTGTTTATCTTGTCTTGGTCCAGGTAGCGTTTGAAGACCTCCGACTCAATCTCCGTTGTGTGGCCCAATTCCCGTGCTTGCTGGTAGAGTTGCTCAAACCCTCAAAGATGGATGATTGAAGAGGGGTCAAATCTTCCACGACTCGAATATCGTGCTTACCCTCCAGATGTTTTCGAAAGTTAGTGGTAACTGAAGTGCTGTACGGGTTCGTCTGGGGACAATGGCTGCAATAGAGAAGACGATTTCGGCCCTTAAACTCTTCCTCCCCCTCTGCTGCAACGCGAGCATGCTTCCACGTTGCGATAGCCGCTTTGCCTCTTGTATTGCGAGATCTTGATGTCGTAGAGTCCGACAATATAGATTCAGCATCGAAGAAGGATAGCACACTTGCAGAATCCATAGTTCGACAACTGATTCGTCCGACGCGTTGGTGCAAAGTGGTGGGGAAAGCGATTTGTGTTTGTGTGGGAATTAGCGGGGTTCAAGGCCCTCAGACCCCTGGACGATGGCGCTGTAGGGGTCCCGGTCAGTGGCGCAATTTGGCCAATTATTGACTGAGCATTGAAATACTATGGATCCATATCCATACCCTGTCCATGCCATAGTATGGAAAGGGTATTTCCATACTTGGGTATGGAAAACCACCCTGGTGTAAGGAGCGCCCGTGTAGTAAAGTGGTTGGGCCCGTATATCAATTGCCATTCTGATATTAGCAAATACCACATCCTTGCAGCTTGCTTCAATCCGTACAAACTCTTCAGGATCTGAGCGTATTTCCCGAAATATTGCTGGAGCTCAGTTGGCACTTTCATGAAGATCCTTTCCTTTAGGTCTGCTGCAAGGAACGCAGCCACAGCATCCATCTGGTATACCTTCCAGCCTTTCTTCGCCGCTAAAGCTAGAATGATCCTCATCGCATCGAGCCGGATCGTGGGTGCGAAGGTTTCCTCGTAATTGATCCCGTGTTTCTGTGTGAACCCTCTCGCGACTAGACGTGCTTTATACCGTAGTATCTTCCCTTCTTTGTCTTTCTTGCGATCAAACACAAGCTTGGCATCAACTACTTCTTCTCCGTGCACGTCAACTTCGTTGATTTCCTCCGAGAATGTCTGTCGTCGAATGAGATTCTGAACTTCCTCATCTATAGCTCCTACCCATTGATCCTTCTCACTGCCTTCCATCGCCTGTCGGAAGGTAAGCTTTTTCGGGTCGAAGTCGTACAGGTCTGTATTAGGCTGGAGAAGCGTCCTTGCTACCATGGCTCTTTCCTTCCTGCCACCAGACTTGCAAATAGATAAATCAAATCAAATCCGGGGTCCAATTTGATTTGATTTGGATGGCAAAATCATGGATCTGATTTGATTTGATTTGATTTGAGTCGATTTGGATCTCATTTGGATATCTGGATAACTCCACTTTTTCCCACGACGAAATACACTGAGCCGCCCGATAAGGTCCGCTTTGAGGGCCTCTCTGAGCTGTGACCATCTGTCCGGCAAGGCTAAATATTCTCTCCGGCTCTGAAGACATTGCCGGAATAGAAAAGAGGTCGATTGCCATTCGCGACAAGCGTGGATACTGGCGTCTGCGGAGAAGCCAGTACTGGATGGGATTGTCCACAAGACAATCGCCCGGATCGGTACTGGCCACCCATTCTGCGTATTCGTCACGCGTGGAGGACGGTGAGGGCGCAGGTTGGGCGCCAAGTTTCCTAATTGAGGTCATGAAGTCATCTAGGTCCGTTGTCTTCCTTGCAGCTGTGGGCTCCTCGGGTATCGTATCTTGCTCGACCGCGAGGGTTCGGTACTCCTCCCATAGCTCTTGCACAGCCGCCCTTCCTCTGGCCAACCAGTCCGGATGATCGGACCACTGCGACTCGACGGTGGACCAGCGAAACGCGGGATGGAGGACGAGGCTTGCGAGGTACGCAGGGCTATCCTCCGTAAGGGCGTAGTATTGATCCAGCTTCATCCAGCCGAGATTGCAGCCGATTCGCAGGTACGGTTCCTCGTCCCGTTCGTGCTGTAGCTTTGCCTCTTCTAGGTGCTTCAGAAGCCACCCATTGTGAGCAAAACTTCCCAAATCGCGCCGAATTTGCCTTGTCGTGGCTGGCCCTCTAGGCGCTTTGTCGCGATCTTCAATGGTTTCAGGATCGCCAAATACTCTGCAATAACGGACCAGTCCTCAGTGACCATCTGGTCGTCCACAATTGTAGGCTTCTTGCGGCACTTCTTCGGCATCGGCTTTGCCCCGTGCTGTGTCCTTCTCGCCACATATTGATTCCACTCTGTCACTTCCGCTTGACCAGCGAATCGAGTGCATTGCGAAGCATGTAGCCCCGCTCCATCATCGCTTCGGACGAGTTCCAGCGAGTAGCGTTGTCCATGACCACATCGTAGGTTGTTTTGTCTTCGAGGCCCAGGGCGGTGTTCTCGATGGATTGGAGCATGTGGAGCCTTTCAATGCGCTGCCCAGACCTTTCCACCCAGTGAACGATATTGTGCAACTTGCCGATGGGGCCCTTGATCTCCAGAGTCTGACCTCATCTTGGATCTCTTGGTTGGCTTGGCAATCCTCTTCGAACGCGTCGGCGTCCGTGCCGAAAAGGATGGATCGGGCGACGAGGTTGATGATGTGGCCGCAGCAACGGAGCCGACGATGCTGCTTGTTGAACCCCAACTCAGCGCCCAAGTCTTCAAGGCACGTGTCGTTGCTCTCCGCATTGTCTGTGACAAAATATCCAACGCGATCCTCGAACCCATACTCGTGGATTATCTCGCTGACACGGTCGGCCAGGTTTTCTCCACAGTGGCGACCTTCAATCCGTGGCAAGCCGAGGAGAAACGTACGGAACTTCCCTTCGTCATCAATAAAGTGTACGGTAAGGCCGAGCAGAGATGTGAATTTTCGGGAGGACCAAGCATCAAAGGAGACGTTGATGCGGCTGAGCGACCGACGAAGCAATTCCGTCACGACACCTTTGTGACAATTGAAGGAGCGCACAATCCAGTCGCGTATTGTGCTATGAGTGGGAATACTGCCCGAATCCGCAATTGCGCTGTTCGCGTAAGCCATAAGGTCACGAAAGTACGGACTCTCCAGTTTGTGGAATGGTATGTTGTCGCATGCCACCCAGCGTATCAAGAGATGTTGAAAGCGAAGTGGTTCAAAGGACGAGATGAAGGCATTCATCAGAGCCTGATCCTTCGGTCGGTTGGAGTCTAGGTCAACCACGTCGAAAAGAGTGCGTTGCTTCTTCCTCTGTGGTAGCATTGGCCCGCCTTTGTTGATGTGGTGAATTTCTTCCATGTGACTGTTCGCTGACTTGTGGATGCAGCATCGTACATATGGGTAATTGTCAGTGTGGCTAACAATCAATCGAGTTCAATTTCGATCATCGAACTTGATTGATTGAAGGTATGTCCAACTCGATTGAAACTTGACTTGACCAGTCAATGAGCTTGATTGACAACTTGTCAAGTACTTGATGTACTATGCCTAATCCGGTAATTGGTACAGGCACTCGCGGTGCAGAAATCCCGCGCAAAATTTTTGGAGCTTGGAGTGCTGAATGACCGACTTGGGCCCCCCGGAACGCGTGTGGCAACGTTATCACGCGTCGAATTGACGCGTTGTTGATGGCTGTTTGGTGTGATAAGAGTGGGGTTCATTTTCGCTTGTGTTGGGACGGTTTGGGGGCCCCCGCGCGGGCCCACTTACGCCTAATGCGCGCTAAGCAACCACTTTCGGCCCCACAATATTTGAGGGCGAATCCCACGATTCGAAGCGATGTAATTGGCGGATTACTTCCCGATCTAGGGTAGTCCTCTCTTTGCCATGTGGCGTCAAGTACTTGACGACTTGACACTCCTTGAACTCGATTGATTGATGACTACTACCTAACTTGACTTGAGAACTTGACTTGACGAAAAGTCAAACTTGATTGAGAATTGTCAAGTTCGAGCTTGATTGTTAGCCACACTGGTAATTGTAGCCTTCTTCCCGTGGCAGGCCTTGCAAAGCCAAAACCGATGACCGGAATCGGTTTTCTCGATATCGAACTGTCAGAGGGAGCAGACTGACGGTCTAATCCGCACACGTATAAACTCCGGTGAAAGAGGCAGGTCAGACACAAGGACTTGAGTCAGGTATCGATACAGTAGAGGAACATTGCCCTAATCGGGATACACGGGAATTGGCACTGATTCAGGGCCACCACGGGTCCCAGATTGGTATCTATTCGTATAAATACCCCTCAATGTCGCACAGATAGATAAAAACATGCATCATCGTTTGGACTCAATTGTGCCTGCCCTTATCCTTCCGCCCGCGCTCTCAGCTTGCTGAGAGTTATGAGCCCGGTTTGCGGTGCTCTTTATCCTTCGCATTCCTCTACCAACTGTGAGGCTATCACGAATCTCAACGCACCATATATCCTTCACCCTTGGGGTTGACGCGAGGAAGAGAGCAAAATTCAGGGCAACACCCACAACTACGCAGAGTCAACGTGACGCGTGCATCCCTCGCAGGAGGTAAAACACACGATGACACTAGGCCCCAATATCAGAAGGGGAGGTGTACATCACCACACTCAAGGAAAGCCTTGACTGGACCCCATGGATTAGGGTATCAAATCATGGGCTCAAACGCACCACATCTGGGAGTACGTTAACCCAGAAGGGACCGTGGTGCTCGAGGAGCCCTGAGGCCTAGCTGGGAAGAGCTACTCGAGAAGGTAGGGCAGAGGCCCCACTGAGGAAGCTTTCCCAACGAAGAAAATAAGTATAAGGCAGCAAGGAAGACTTCAATGAGAAGCTTCAAGATGCCAAGGACCTCTTTAGGTACAAAGAGAAGACCTTCCAGGATCAATTGGACCGCTTCAAGGCTAGAGAAAAGCCATGATGCAGATCGAGGAGGTGATCAAGAAGTCCATCAGTGAGGGGCTCCAGGGCGAGACCCTGATACAGCTGACGCCCCGGGACAAGATCAAAGAACTCAAACAGAAGGTTCTCCTCAGCGGAGGAAGAAAAGAACCTTATCGATGAAAGGTATCATCAAATCATCAACAAGAAAGGAACCGGGACTGGAAGGCCTGGGCAGAGCAGCTGGACCAAGTCATCCTGATTCAAGAGACCTAGCGGTCTCGACTATTAATGACACAAAGATTCGTCAGGACTTCCTCAAAGGGACCGAAGAATGGGACCCTAGCTGGCCCATGACGATTAGGCTGCTGGACGCACTCCTGGAGAGAACAGGACTCCCAGCAACCCCTTTGCGCACCCTGATTGCCGACTTTAAAAGGGAGGTTGGATTCAGGAAGAAAGGGAAACCTCAGAAGACCCCAGGGTCAACAACGCAAACAACGCTCCAAGATCATCTGATCAGAGGACTAGGAATGGCCCAGAGGGGTCACACAAGTGCCCGGCATGTAAGCAACACTGGGTCAAAAGGATGAGTGGTGGGAAAGCTGCTGGACCTTTAGAGCGATGTTCCAGAAAGACCCCGAAGGATGGATTCCCAGGGACCACCTTAAGGAGGCCATCAACCAGCACCTTAAGGAGAACCCTTGGACAAGACCAAAGCCATGGAGTGGAAGCCAAAAGCCAAAGACATCACAGTCCCGCAGAATAACAACAACTCGAGCAAACAGGCTAATACAGTGTCGCACGTGCATAGCACTAATACGAGTGAAGACTCTCTCGAGGACAAGGCCATCTATGATTCAGGGGCTAGCGTACATGTCTTTAACGACCTACGATGGTTCGATGAGGATACCTTCACCTGGGGATCGTCAGAAGAAGTCCGGGCAGGAGAAAACTCCTCCAAGTCAAGGGGGTAGGCATGGCCGTTATCCCAGTGAAAACGGGATCAATTTGAAGCTTGAGAGCAGCTACTACATCCCAGAGATGCCAACAAGTGTGTTCTCAGCTCGTCAGGGGATTGTTGCGAAGATCTATTGGAACCAGGTTAACGGCACACTCTACCATGAGCCCACAGGGCGCACTCTGGTCAGTCTGCAAGAAATTGAAGACCAATACGTTATTGCAAGCCTCTCAAAGCGGCCCCAACACAGCGTCTTTGTCACAAGCAGGGCTCCTAAGCCACCAATGGGTGGGCAAGCAGACCTTTGGCACAGACGGCTAGGACATCCGGGGCCAGAACCCCTTAGCCACCTAACCAAGATGGGGGGACCGGCCACGTGTGAATGCGAGGTCTGCGCAACAGGCAAGGCAAAGAGGCAGGTCTCCCGTGAGGAGCCCACTTTACGACCCAGAGGGGCCGGAGCTCAATTTAGCTTCGACTTACACCCAGGCCCGGTGGCCGGATTCGGGGGTGAAAAGTACTTTGCGCTCTTCACATGCATAACGACCAGGATGAGGTTTTATTACGCGTTGAAGAGCAAAACCGAGGTCCGAGATGCCTTCAAGAAGCTAACATCAATGCTAGAAACTCAGTACGGGATAAAACTGATCAACCTGGCTTCTGACGGAGAAAAGCCCTTCTAACAAAGGAGCTAGTCAAATTCATCGAAGGATTGGGCATTCGGGTCTTCCAGTCAGCTCCATCCACGCCCACGCAGAATGGGCATGCAGAAAGGTCCGGGGCCGTGGTCAAAGAAAGGGCCCGGCTTATGAACCTGGACTCCGCATCCCGGAGGAGCTCTGGACCGAGACCTACCGCACAGCAGTGTATTTGCTCAACCGTACGCCACTTAAAGGATCTGATCATAGCTGGAGAAGCCCACACGAACGATGGTGGACCTATATGAGGGACCACAACCTCTATACGGCCACATCAAGCGAGTCCAGCCGAGCATAAATCACCTGCGTGTCTTCGGCTGTGTGGCCTACCCAATGACAATCACTGCGTTGGAGCATGTAAAGTCACATAAGACGCAGTCCCCGCTTGAGCAGAGAGCTCATATCGGTTACCTGGTGGGCTACAGATCGACCCATCAATATGTCGTGTGGATACCCTCGATCCGCCAGACCAAACTGATGGTCTCGGCGAATGTACAATTTGATGAGTCAACAATGTACGATCCGAAGAGGGAAGAAGACGCGGAAGCCTTCCAGGTCTATACATACGATGTTCTTCGTCAAATGGTGGCGATAGACGTCCCTGACGACGAAGACATAGAGGAAGCAGGAGTGCGCAATTACTCCGATGATGAGACAGATGACGGAATGACGCCGTACACCTCGGAGTCAATTGCGGCACCTCTGCAGACGAGGCGACACAAGAAGCACCGAATTTGAAGACTTCGATGAGGGCTACAACGGACAGTGCCTATATTTCGCCTCCAAGCACTTCAAACAGTAGGGTGGAGGAAGAAACCTCGCCCTCCCCACCAAGCTCTGTCACCACTAGCGTGACCCAGCAGGAGGTCACACACCACGGGAGTCAGGACCCGGAGGTGGAAAACTCAAGCATTATCTCGAGCCCTACGCGGACCGACCCGGAGCCTCAGGTATCATTAGGCACGCCGATCCTAGACGTATTGAATGAGCGATTGAATGAGCCGCCTGTCGATCCGGGGTGGTGCGCTCGAAGAGCCACAATGGTCAGAATTCGAGGAGCTGTCTCTGGGGGTGGGAGAGCCCGACCCCAGAGTCACAATCACAACCTGAAAACGACCCCGCAAGGCGAGGGACAAGTCTCAGGGATAAACCCCCAATGTGCTTGAGGGCAAGAGACAGAGGAAGCCGAAGAAGGCCTTCATCAATAACATCATTGCTAATGCCTCGAAGCACAGGCTTCACGTTGAGGATATGCCTCCTGTGCCAACCTCCTTTAAAGCCGCGATGGCTTCGGAATACGCCTCCCAATGGATAATGGGGATGGGGCGTGAAATTGAGGACCAGATGAAGCTCGAAACGTGGACCAAGGTGGCCAGAAAGATGGTTGAAGAAGCCGGCCACTTCATAATCCCGTTGCGATGGGTATATGCATATAAACTGGATGAGCAGGGCTACGTCACTGCTTTAAAGCCCGACTTGTGGTCCGTGGAGACCAGCAGCCGGAAGACAACGAGGACACATACGCGGCCACACTACGAGCAAGAACCTTCAGAGTGTTAATGGCCCTCTGCTGTCTTGAAGACCTTGAAACAGAACAGTACGATGTGAAAACAGCGTTTCTGTATAATAAGCTCAAGCATGCCATCTATTGTCAGATGCCACCAGGCTACCTTGAGCCTGGGCTATGCTTGAAGCTTCTCAAGGGACTATACGGGCTTCGAATCGCTCCAAGGCTGTGGTTTGAGGAGCTCTCGGCTTCTTCAAGAAGCTGGGCGCTCAACAACTCGTCGAAGATGCCTGCGTGATGACTTATAAAGGAGTCATCATCTTCTTCTTTGTGGATGACATCGTGATGATGTATCCAAAAGAAAAGAAGGCCGAATGGGAAGAACTTCACGCTGCCATTATGAAGGAATATACCATCAACCACATGGGGGAACTTCGCTGGTTCCTAGGGATTGAAGTCATCAGGGATAGGGCCCAGAAGAAGCTTTGGTTCGCTCAAGTCTCGTATCTCTCGAAGATGGCCAAGAAATTCCACATTGAGGACGATGATCAGATCCTTGGCGTGCCCCAGATCCCGATAACGACCGAAGAGCTCAAGCCATACGAGAAGACGGCTACTAGGGACGAGGTTCATCAATATCTCTCTAATTGGCTCAATTCTTCACCCAGCGATTCACACCAGACCCGACGGTGCGTTCCCGGTTGGAAAACTGGCACAATTCAGCCATAACCCGGGCCCGAAGCATAGGAGAGAGGCCAGGAGATGCCTGGCATACCTCTATCACACGAGAGATCGCTGCATCTGCTTCTCAGTCAAAGAAGCTGAACGCAGGTTCCTCTGCGCTTCTGATTCATCCTTTGCAGACAACCCGGAGACTCGAAAATCCTCACAGGGATATGTCTTCTTGTTTCTAGGCGGACCCGTTGACTGGAAGGCTACGAAACAAGCGACTGTGACGACGTCGTCCACAGAGGCCGAATTGCTGGCCCTGTCAAGCGCGGCGAAGGAGCAAATGCAATTTTCCCGGCTAATTAAAGAGCTTGACATCAAGGTAGAAGGCACCAATGAGCTATGGTGCGATAACCTGCAGACCATCAGGCTCCTGACTGAACTAAGCGCAAAGCTCAAGACGAACCTTAAGCACATCGATATCCATCGTCACTGGCTTCGACAGGAGGTTCAGGAAGAAAGACTCCAGATCACATGGATCAAGTCTACGGAGAATCCCGCTGATGGAATGACAAAGGCCCTTCCCAGCAAAAGCACGAAGCTTTTGTCAAGCAGCTAGGGATGCAAGGGAGACCGGTGGCACCAATTGAAGCCGATGCGCCGGAGGACAGTTTCGACAGTATCACCACCCAGAGAGAGATATAGATGCTCTCCGTCTCACGAAGAAAGTCAGCAGAAAGGTCATATTGTATTCCGTGTCTCTGTTCTCCTCCCTTTCTGCCCTAAACCCAAGCCCCTATTTATATCCCTCTTTCGTAGTAAAGGTAATGTGTTCAGGGAGGCTGGGGACCTGGGGTTCCCAGCCTCTCGACTGAGATGTTCCAGTCTTTAAGAGGAGCTTTCCAGCCTCCTCGTTCAGACCTGGTTATCAGCTCCTTGCTGCCCTAGCTACCCATGGGTGACCTGGTTGACTCGACCATGGGCCGTTCTTCATGACACACCCTTAGCTGTAGCCTACCCCATAGGGAACAGCTAGATCAGCCTTATAGGGCCTCCTAGACGGAGGGACATCATTTCGGAATTAAGAAGGAGAACCGTAGGACTCCTTCGCAAAGCTGGGCCATGTATACGCGGCAGGAAAGTGACCTCCCAAATATTACTGAGCTAAGCCAGAGGGAAATCCTCCTTTATTGCAAAGCTAGTTGGGGTTTTGCTTTCCTGCTGGCTCTGATCTTGTCAGCTAGGAGTTCCAATCGGGCTTCGCTGTAATCGGCTCCGTAAGTCAGCTACCCCTATCATTCGGAGGAAATTTTGTAGCTTTTGGAAAGGGAGGGCCTTCGTAAGGCCGTCCGCTCGCATTCGGGCCGTTGGAACCCATTGGATTTTGATCCTTCCTTGTTGAGTCTCTTGACGAAGCCAATGCTGATGGATATCAACGTGTCGAAGTCTCGTAGAGAGCTTTGCACTAGCTTCTTCAAGCAGTCTGATGGTTTGTGTGTTATCAGATTCAAGCAACAACGGCTCTGGGATTTGAACTTGCAGAGATCGCAGCAACCGACTAATAAATATAGCTTCTTTTGCAGCTTCTGATATAGCTAGCAATTCGGCTTCGGTGCTTGACGTAGTGACTGTGGCCTGCTTCGAAGCTCTCCAAGCAATTGGTCCGCCAAATAGTGTCATGACGTAACCTTGGGAACTTTTCCTATCGATTGAGTTGTCCGCAAAGCTTGCATCGCTCGAACAGAGGAAGATCTCAGCAGCAGCCTTTCGACCCATGTTACCCCCTAGCCTAATACCATATGATCGTGTGGCGTAGAGGTAAAGGATCACTCTGTCGGCTGCCTGCTGGTGTATTTCGCCGGGGTTCTGGTTGTGCCTTGCTAGTCGAGAGACCGCAAAAGCAACATCCGGCCTCGTTGAGATAGCCGCAAATAGTATAGATCCAACCTTTGCAGAAATCTGTGTAAATAACCCTTCTCTGCTTGGCTCGTTGAGGAAGCAGTTCCTCAGATGCCATTGGAGTATCAGGGGATTTGAGACGAGCCTGCTTGGGTCTAGGAGCTTATGGGCGATCTTCTCGATATAGGCGTCTTGCGTCAGCCAAATCGTTCGTTGAGATCTATCCCTAAGGATGTGTATCCCGAGGAACCACCTAGGCTCTCCAAGAAGCGTCATTTGATATCGAGCTTGAAGCCCTCTTATCGCTTCCTTTGCAACCTCCTGGTCTCCTTTCTTATAGGCCCAGATGATATCGTCCACGTAAAAGAAGACAAGAATTGCTCCCTTTCTCATAACACAGGGTTCTTGTGGGACTGTCTGAAAGCCTAGGGATTTAAGGGACCCGGTAAGGTGTTGTTGCCAAAGGAGTGGCGATCGTCGTAGGCCATAGAGGGCCTTCCTAAGTAGCAGAACTCTGCCTGGCTTAACGAATCCGGGAGGCATCCTCATATAGACTACCTCGTCCTCGAGTGGGCAGTTGACGAAGGCGTTGACTGCATCCATTTGATCAAGCTCGAGGTCGAATTCTGCCGAAATCGCCATTAGGGCCCTGAACGACATCCCGGCTAAGGTCGTAGCCCGGGTAGGAAGGTCCCCTTTCCTGCTGGTTGCCGCAGACCACGAGACGAGCTTTGCACTTTTGAAGGATCCCGTGCTTGTCTGTCTTGTAAATAAAGACCCACTTGCAGCCTAGAATTTGCTTGCCGGCAGCCCTCTTCCAAGGAACCTCGAGAAAGGACCCCATCTCCTCGTGTGAGGCAAGGTGGTCTTTCTGAGCTTTGATGAATTCCTCTTTATAAGGGTGCCTTTCGAGCTGCTTCTGTGTCTCTGGCGGTTCGGGTAGGTTCTTCTTATGCGGCCTTTGTGTCTTTGGCTTGAAGATTCGTCCAGCATTGAAGGTTCCATGGAGCATATTCCTGATCTTCTGGGGATAGAAGTCCCGAAATCGGTCTTGAAATTGATCTTCCTGGCGTATCCCTGTATGATCAAGTGGCTCCTGCGTTAAGTGCTCCAAGAAGGTAACTCTTTTCTTCTTAGGAGTCGAAACCGAAGGATTTATTAACGCAGATTTCTCCCACCCCTCAGGGGTAGCGACAGGAAGAAATACTGATAGAACGGCTTGAAATTCATCTTCAGAGGGCGGCGGCGTTAGCAAGAGTTCCTCGTTGGCTTTTTCTTGGTCTTGTGCCTCCTCCTCGTCAGATTCTTCTTCAAAGAGGTCTTCTTCCTCAGACTCGGATTCTTCATCAAGGATTTCCTGATTTACTTGCTGATCCTCTGGAATAGAGACATTTTCGACTAGCTCGTCGATATTTGCAAGCAGCGGTGGTTGCTCGAGCTTGCCGTCGAAGAAGGTTCTTTCGTCGAATGTAACGTCCCGGGTTGAAATAACCTTCCGAAGCAAGGGAACCCATATCCTAAAGATATTCGTAGAACTATAACCAACCAGGTAGCCGATGTGAGTTCTTGGATCGAGCTTTGTAGCCTTCTCCTCTTCAACTGTGCGTTGGCAGTCATTGCGTAGGCCCTACAGCCGTACGCCTGAAGAGTTGCATGCTGGTTGTGGTCGGGTTCCTTCTTTTTTGTAAATAGCTCCAAAGGGGTCATCCACAGCTGTCGATGCAGATTCTCCTGATCAGAAGGTCTTGATAAGTCCGGTCTGGCTTTTGGATTCCGTGGGGTCCTGTTTTTCAAATAACAGGCCGCTTCCACGGTCTCTTTCCAAAGATCGTGAGGAAGCTTTGCAGCTATCCTCATCTTGCGGGCCCTCTCCATTAGGGCACCTCCTGATCTCTCGGCACCTCCATTCTGGGATTGGGTGTTTGGGGACGAGGGTTCTGCTGAGATACCCTTCTTTCGAAGCCACTTCTTAGTTGCCTTAGTAAAGAGTTCTCCGTCTGAACGAATGGTCTTTACACTATAGTCAAATCGAAGCTTCATCCAGCTAACGAAGTCCCTAAGTGCCCCCCAGTTGTGTTTGTTTTGATAGGTCCGGAGAAAGTAGGGGAAAATCATGCCTGAATAGGCGTCTGTTATGAACATCACTCGAACGAATCCCTTATAATCAGGGGATAGGTCGGTCCAGTCGATCCAGATTTCTTCGCAAGGATGACTTCGATCCTTATTCGGGTTCGCCTTGAGACCTGTCTATAGGCCCTTCCTTGGGCGCATGGTTCGCACTCAACGGTCCTTGGGCCCTTAATGCGAATACCCTTTCGTTGGCCAAGCATTTCGAGTGCTTGAGGGCCAGGGTGACCGAGGCGAGCGTGCCAAAGGTCCGAATCAGCTGTTGCGACAGGCCTAGGGTCTCGAGAGGTCCTTCTTCGTGCCTTTGTAGCTTTAAAAGCTGCCTCATCGAGGTCGTCTTGCATTGCAGGTTGGAAATCTAGCACAAACTGACGGTGCTTTCGGAATAAGACGCAAATTGGTTTCCTCCCTTCCTTATAGGCCAGCTGGGTTGGATTTGTAAAGGTATCCCAGTAGATCCCTTCTTCCTGAAGAGACTGAAAAGAAACAAGGTTGGCTGAGAATCTCGGGCAATAGGCAACCCGTTTTAACCGTAGCTGCCGGAGGGTTCCGTCTGGAGCTGTAACCGTAACATTGACTCTTCCGTAACCCTCTATCCGGACTTCTGTGTCTCCTGTGACTAGATATTCGTTCCTGGCCTTTCTAAAGGAGCGGAAGCGGAAAGGTTATTGCAGACGTGTAAGGAGGCCGCCGAGTCTAGGAGGGTCGAGTGACGGAGTGGGTAGTCTATAGAGGTCGGTTTCTGATCGGCTGAATAGACGAAGGCGGGATTTGCTGTGCCAACAATCTTTCCAACTGGCTTTAGTTGCTAAGCCAAACCTTTGTTGATCTCATTGACTCTCCTCTGCAGCTCGGGGTCACTTTTTAGAGCCTTTTCTGCTTTTTCTCGTAGCTTGCTGTTTTCCCTGTAGTAGGAAGGTCTGTTTTTCTCGAACAGCTGCCAGCACTCTGAAAGCTCGTGCCTATTTTCGCAAGCAGGGCAGCGTTTTCGAGACGAAGATGAAGGATTTGTATCCTCCTTTCGCTTTCTTCTTTTCGGCTGTGCTTCTGGCTCCGAATCGTATATTGGGTCATCTGTAAGAAAAGCCCCGCCTCGCTTGATTCCTCTTTGCGGTTGTTGTTCCGCAATTTCTGATTTTTCTTGCAACAATTTGGAACGTCCAACGGAAGGTGAGGCTGCGGGTGCTGGTGCCGCTACTCCTGGTGCGGGGCCGCTGCTGCTTCCACGGTGCTGCTGCCACATATGCAGGTCGATCAAATGCTTGTTGCATCTTTCTAGCCGCATCCTCGTCAAGGCGCCTGCTCTCTTCAAGGAAGATTGTTGCATAGCCATCACTAAGGGGCTTAATGATTGTTGCAATATCTCGCAGCCACTGGCCAGTAAGCGCTTCCATTAGGAAGTACTGTATAGCTTCCTGTATGATCTCTTCCCATTTGACAAGCCACTCAGGGATGTTGTTGCTCTTTGAGTAGCTTCGAAGGTGACTCGAGTAAAGCTTCCTGATTCGCTCAGTCATAAATCCTTTGGTAGGGGCGGTTGAAGATTCCAGTGTTGTCATCCATTGACGAAGTGTATCTTCCTCACGCAACGAAATCATCTTTGCTGTGCCGATTGACTCCGTAATTGCCGTTCTAGCTTCCTTAATTAGCTTCTTCTCATATAGGTATTCCTTACGCATATTTTCATAACGTGAAGTGGCTGCCGAGAAAGCTTTCTGCTGAGCCGAAGTGAGGCCTGCATAGGTTATAACACCGGCAGCAAACTCGGAAAACGTAGGCCGAGCGGGGGATTGTAACGGGACTGTTCCTTCCTCAAATACTATTCCATGGATGGTCTCGTCAACCCTCGCACGAAGCTCCTTATTCCACTTATCCCAGTCCTGAGGTTCTGAGAGAATCGTGCGGCGGGTGGAATTGGTGTTCTTCGACATTGCGATTTGAAGGGTAAAGGGATAAAGGTATGAGTGATCAGATGGATTTGATCTTCGATAAATGGGGAGTGCCTGCTGGCACTGTTGAAGGCGCAATATTGTGCACACGGAAGTTCCAGAAACTCTGTTTCTCCCGGGCTCATAACTCTCACGAAGAAAGTCAGCAGAAAGGTCATATTGTATTCCGTGTCTCTGTTCTCCTCCATTTCTGCCCTAAACCCAAGCCCCTATTTATATCCCTCTTTCGTAGTAAAGGTAATGTGTTCAGGGAGGCTGGGGACCTGGGGGTTCCCAGCCTCTCGACTGGAGATGTTCCAGTCTTTTAAGAGGAGCTTTCCAGCCTCCTCGTTCAGACCTGGTTATCAGCTCCCTTGCTGCCCTAGCTACCCATGGGTGACCTGGTTGACTCGACCATGGGCCGTTCTTCGTGACACTCTGAGCATCACCCAGGCACGGGATGGACCCATCATTTTGCTGGTATTGACTTGTTAAAATGCTCCTGGTCACAACACCAAGGAAGACATCATGAAGAGCATCTCCTCAACGGTAGTAGCCTCACTCGCTGGATATTTGATAAGATTGGATGATTCGTCTGTCTCTTTTGCTTGTTTGCCTCACTCACCCAGTGAGACCGAGGCAAAGGGGTGTGTCAGAGGAGCAGACTGACGGTCTAATCCGCACACGTATAAACTCCGGTGAAAGAGGCAGGTCAGACACAAGGACTTGAGTCAGGTATCGATACAGTAGAGGAACATTGCCCTAATCGGGATACACGGAATTGGCACTGATTCAGGGCCACCACGGGTCCCAGATTGGTATCTATTCGTATAAATACCCCCTCAATGTCGCACAGATAGATAAAAAACATGCATCATCGTTTGGACTCAATTGTGCCTGCCCTTATCCTTCCGCCCGCGCTCTCAGCTTGCTGAGACGAACCCATGCTCCCATACCCATCCCGTCCGCGCTCTTTTTCTATACTTGCGTATGGAGAAACCCGAGAGGCGATTCCAATCGATGCCTTCATATCCAACGTAGTCGATCGAAGGTGATGTGTCAAGGTCGGGGAGCTCGGGAGCGCTAAAACTGGTGGACGGGACACTAGAAAGGGCGGCTGACAGCGCCTCGCCTTCTGCTGTATGCGCCATTGCAGTCAAGTGCAGAGCTGTCCCATTTTGGCCACCGGCTACAAATATTTCCCCCCGTAATATGGCAGACGCACCCAAAGATATATTTCACGATCAAACGTGTCAGGTAAAACGCAAAAAGAAAGCTTAGTGACACGGCCTGGAAAAGCAACTGCCAGTAATAAGCGACCGCTCTGGGCCAGGGCTGGCTCCCAAAAATTATTGGCCCAGGTCGCCATTGTGGGGCGTATCCAAATAATCAGATATCCAAATAAATTTGGATGTTGCGATTTGATTTGATTTGATTCAGCGCAGGGGCAATTTGATTTGATTTGATTTGGATAAATTTGATTTGATTTGATTTGATTTGATTTGATTATGATTTATCTATTTGCAAGTCTGCCTGCCACTCTCCCCTCGCTTCTTCAGACGTTCTGCCATGCGCTGTTCTTCTCTTTGCCGCCGTTCCAGCTCTGCTCGCTGCTTCTCTGCTCTTTTGAGTGCCACGGTCTCTCGTCGAATCTGGGATCCCCAGCTTCTGTAGCTTCCTGGTCCATGGTCCTATCCCTGACCGAATCTTCGGCATCAGAGTCATCATCAGTGAGCTCCCCTTGCTCCCTTTTCTCTTCCTTCTCATCGTCATACTGCGATTGTGATTCTTGGCTGATTTCATTGTCCGTATACTTGCTCTCATCGAATTCCACGAATCGAACCTCGTGGACCTTCTTATCAGCTGGGTTCCAGACTAGATAGATTTTATCTGTCTCCTCTTTGTATCCAACAAAAACTTCTTGCCATGCTCTTTTCAGAAGCTTTGTTCTCTTTTCTTTGGGAATAAATACCCAGGCAGGACATCCGAACACTCTCAAGTGCCCTGATCTTGGCTTCTCTCCACGCCATAACTCCCATGGGCTTTTAGCCATTCCTTGACAACTCCCCTATTTCTCAGATAGGCCGCTGTTGCGTTCGAAAACTCCCAGTATGCTGCCGGGAGGTCCATTTCGTGACGCATAGCAGACCCCCTCTCTGATATGGTTCTCATGCTCCTCTCAGAGATACCTACATCCCAGAGATGCCAACAAGTATGTTCTCAGCTCGTCAGGGATTGTTGCGAAGATCTATTGGAACCAGGTTAACGGCACACTCTACCATGAGCCCACAGGGCGCACTCTGGTCAGCCTGCAAGAAATTGAAGACCAATACGTTATTGCAAGCCTCTCAAAGCGGCCCCAACACAGCGTCTTTGTCACAAGCAGGGCTCCTAAGCCACCAATGGGTGGGCAAGCAGACCTTTGGCACAGACGGCTAGGACATCCGGGGCCAGAACCCCTTAGCCACCTAACCAAGATGGAAGGACCGGCCACGTGTGAATGCGAGGTCTGCGCAACAGGCAAGGCAAAGAGGCAGGTCTCCCGTGAGGAGCCCACTTTACGACCCAGAGGGGCCGGTGCTCAATTTAGCTTCGACTTACACCCAGGCCCGGTGGCCGGATTCGGGGGTGAAAAGTACTTTGCGCTATTCACATGCATGACGACCGGAATGAGGTTTTATTATGCATTGACGAACAAAACGAAGGTCCGAGATGCTTTCAAGAAGCTAACATCGATGCTAGAAACTAGTTCAGTACGGGATAAAACTGATCAACCTGGCTTCTGACGGAGAAAAAGCCCTTCTAACAAAGGAGCTAGTCAAATTCATCGAAGGATTGGGCATTCGGGTCTTCCAGTCAGCTCCATCCACGCCCACGCAAAATGGGCATGCAGAAAGGTCCGGGGCCGTGGTCAAAGAAAGGGCCCGGCTTATGAACCTGGACTCCCGCATCCCGGAGGAGCTCTGGACCGAGACCTACCGCACAGCAGTGTATTTGCTCAACCGTACGCCACTTAAAGGATCTGATCATAGCTGGAGAAGCCCACACGAACGATGGTGGACCTATATGAGGGACCACAACCTCTATACGGCCACATCAAGCGAGTCCAGCCGAGCATAAATCACCTGCGTGTCTTCGGCTGTGTGGCCTACCCAATGGCAATCACTGCGTTGGAGCATGTAAAGTCACATAAGACGCAGTCCCCGCTTGAGCAGAGAGCTCATATCGGTTACCTGGTGGGCTACAGATCGACCCATCAATATGTCGTGTGGATACCCTCGATCCGCCAGACCAAACTGATGGTCTCGGCGAATGTACAATTTGATGAGTCAACAATGTACGATCCGAAGAGCGAAGAGGACGCGGAAGCTGTCCAGGTCTATACATACGATGTTCTTCGTCAAATGGTGGCGATAGACGTCCCTGACGACGAAGACATAGAGGAAGCAGGAGTGCGCAGTTACTCAGTAGAGGCCGGTTTCTCTGTCTCTCGGGTCTAGGGGGACCACAAGACCGCCAGACTGCATTTACAAATAAAACATTTATATCAATAGATTCTATATATACTATTTCATATTTCTGAAATTTTCAAAAATATTGTCAATGGTTGTGTTGGTCGCAGGATTAATTTTCGCTGTGGCTTGCCGGTCGGACAATTTGTTGCATGACATGGTGCGTTGCATGACGCAGTGGGGTACGTTATGTCTATATAAGACCTAGCCTTCCACTCCTTCTGTAGCTAGAGATATCATAATCAAGAGATCATTCATTTCGTCTTTCCTAGTCCACGAGTGTGGACAACATATAGACTTATAGAGCCGAATATAACTACCAAAATCTCATTCTGGCTCGGAGGAATAAAACTCGGGTTACATATGTGGACACAATTAGTCGGCTGGCAGATACAGCACTGTACTCATAGTGAATTATCTACACAAATAACCTTATTCCACTCGGCCAACTCCGAAGAGGCACCTGCTTGTTCCACGGTTACGCGGCTAACGATTCTGCAACCCCGGCTGAAAATGAAGATCGTCCCATCGTCACCTCGCATCCGCGTGTCTTCGACTTCATTTCTGTCCGCAGCTTTTATCCTCACAATAACACATGCAGCCGATGCCAGTGCCTTGCGGTAAGTGGCTAGTAATGTGTTGCTTCGAAGATAAATCTCATGGGCAGGCTTGGGGCCAGATGGCTTTGCGGCTGCGCTTTATGACCTTAACCCCTTAATGCGGCCCTCCCCCAGGTTCCGTATGCTTTTCATCGCGACTAGAGGATATTAGTATAATAGGAATCCGAACCATGACAGTTTCTGCTTACGTGTGATCTGTATGCACCACATGATGCCGATGCCGCGGAACCCTTCTTTGGGATGATCTCGAATACTGGCAAGTCTTCCCCCCTGCAACGCACCGCTCACATGGTTGGGTCCTGCTACATCTGGATTTTCTTGCCCTGCAAGCTTGGCAAGCCCGGTCGGTTCTTCGGATGATGTTGGATGTCTGTGAGAAGAACAAGAAGCCCGGCTGTGGTCGTTCATCCTGCCCTGCCACCTGTTGCACAGAGAGCTGGTCGTCACTGTTGTTGTCGGCGTACACGGTTGTGGGCTTCGTTAGCACGGCGCCCGTGCCTATTGACTGGACTGTCGCACTCTTGGGACTCGTATCGCCATGGCTGTCGACGCGGGGAGCGTTGATCACAGGCATTGACTGCGAGGTGACGGCTCTGACGGTCAAGCCCATGGTGGGCGACATCTGAGGCGCGTTCACTGCACGGCTATCCGCTTGCGCCACTCCCGACAAGGGGGACTGTGTACTGGGAAAGTGACGAACCACGACTGACTCTTCACCGATATTGCGATAATCTGTCGCCCTGCTCTCATATGGTGGGCTCGGCTCGTACACCACACTAGGAAACGGACTTGGCTCCTCAACATCAGCCAGGCTTTGAAGCCCGGTGTGTCCCATGCGATGCGATGCAAACCTTTGAATGGGATTTCAAGTCGTTTTCATCAACGTACGCCAGTAAGCAGCCCGCCACCAGACATACATAGTATCGATCGCGGTCGGAATGTGGTTGCTCCATGTTAGATGGCGCTACTGCATATGCGAATGCTGACCTCTGCTGGACTTGTGCGGCGCCGGATGCGAAGGCTTCGCTGCTTCCCGTGCAAGTCAGGAACTCTGCTCAGTTCACTGTCTTCACACTGGCCCGGCAAGTTGCAGTTATATTCAGGGCGGTGGCGAGGAGTGCCTCCGCGTATGTTGCCAAGTCAAAGACTCGCCCATCCTCAGTACGAGGGCTAGCTTCATCCGCCATCGGTGAAAATCGGCGCAGAAGACGGCTAATATGCCGTAGTTCGGATACTCAAGCTCGGTGGAGGGCTTTGGCGTGGGTGCCATGGAAATACGCAGCCTGGGCCGAGGAAAGTTTTGGACTTTATAGTGCTCGACCTTCCACCACAAGGCTGAAGCCCGAGGCGACTAGAGTATTAACAGTATACTAGAGCCAAAACGCACCTTGAGGAGGAATCAGGCCGAGATGGGTATGCCAAATCATGTTTGATGGAAACAGGCAGGCATACCATGCGCGCGCCCCATGCAGGATGCTACTCGACCTGAATTGATTGCTGGCTGCGGCACCTTGTAAGCTTCGCACAGGATAATGAATGAAAGACCATTGCTCCTAAAGTAGCTCTTCCCCCTGGACCAGGCAGCTGGACCTCTCAAGGCAGCAGCGGAACCAACAGGTAATGGTCGGAGTCTTACATTCGCGTAACCACCGAGACTGCGGGTTGCAAGACAGATCTGGGCTCTGTACGCTTGAATGCCTCGCCATATCATGTTCGCTTACGCGCACTCGGCTGACGTTCGCTACGATAACGGATTGGCATTTACTGATCAACTACAGACTTGTGGAGCCAATTCTATGAAATATAGTCATAGAACGGGTGACAGCTTTGAAGGGAATGTTTGTATTTACAGGCAATTCCCAGCATCAACGTGTACATTTCTGCTGTCACCACTGGACGAAGCATGGGAATCAACTGCCAGGGGTGCTTCCTGGAGGACCGTAATGTGGTATCGTCGAGTCTGAATATGTATATGTCGGTAGAGGGCGTTGCAAGTGCATTACCGGACGGTCGCCTACAAACATAGCCTGTGTGGTGACCATGGGTTGGCCGGGACTGTCCAGCATCGACAGAGACGGACGCTCACAATGAACACTGCCCTGTCGCGTGGTGCTCGCACGACTTAACGGGGTTGTCAGTGGGTATTTGATTGAACCCCAAGCCCATGACTGCGGTAGCCATGCCCATGTGATTTTGATAGCCGTATGAGGATGTCGTGAGCTGCGATGACTCCCAGATGGACGACTTTGTCGTCGACCCGCTAGTAGTGGAGGGATCCCGACATGACTGTCTCGGCAAAGAGAGGGAGAAGTCTTGATCTAGACTGGCTAGTCGACGCGGCACCAAGAGCTGTTCCAGCGACTGGACGGCGGCCCCAGGGTCGCCGGCGCGAAAAGGATGGTTTTGGTCGGCATCAAGTAGCACGAAAGTGCCCGACTGCAAGAAATGGGCAACTTGGCCGTCACTAAAGCCATGCCTGTTGAGAAGCTCCCGTAGCTGCTTGTTCTCCTCGGCTATTCTCCTCGCGGCCATCTGGATCTCGGTCGAAGCCTCGATGCCCTGGAGCTCATATACCCTGAGTCGCTGTTCGAGCTCCTGGACATACTCTCTGTCCGTCGGGCGCGCGATCTCCTTTGGTTGTCTCGAATTCGGACTAAGCTTTTCTTCTGCTAGAGCAGAGAAAGAAAAACGGAGTTTCGTGTTAGAAAAGGCCATTCCTGTCGATGGCATCACCTGGGTTTATGTTACTTACTGCGGGAGCTGACATTTCGCTTGCAGGCTTGTCTGTAGACTTTTTTTCGGCCAGTGAAGGAGGAAAGTAAAATAAAAATAAAAATCCAGTGAATTGTCCCGCAAGTAGAGTATGGGCCCAATGCTGGGTGTCGGGAAAGAATGGGGGTTGGCAAAAGGAAACCCGAGGGAATGGACAAAACTCGTTAGATCTCTGGCAAGGGAAGCAAGTAGGATAGCTACAGCAGCTTCACGCCTTCTTTGACTGGCCGCGTGCTGGTCATGGCGTAGCCCTTGCAGTATTCCCAGGGGCTTGGACAAAGGACAGTCGGATTTGCATTTCATGGGTCACATCTGCCCCGTGTTGGTGGGAATTGGAACACTCGCCCCTAAGTAAACGTGATGAGTCGGTTGGTTAGCTGGACCGAGTCTTGGGAGCCGCTCGCTTTAGAGCCCTGCCTGTTTGCCAATATTTCATAACTGTTATATCCAACCAGTATTGCAAAACATCCGTACCTCGGCAGCCGCGGACGCAGGTTTCACAGAGGCTACCTTCTTCTTCCGAGGTGGATGCCGACGTGGGCAGCCCTTCCCTTGTCACGAGGCTTCCTTCCCTGCGAGCTTCGCCACCCCCCAGCACTTCCCATGCCAAGACGAGGGAAGAGAAATCAACAGGCAGAATCCTGCGTCACGCTCACCCCTGACTCCCACTGCAGGGGCTGCGGGCCAGTCTTCATGATTCGGGAGAGCCGGTCCGCCCAGTCACTCTAGAGATTTGTCTCGTTGCCTATTTGGAAGTCGGCTGCTGGTGGATTTGGGATGTGATCGACGCGTAGATGCAGAAGATGGAGGTGTCCTGGTCGGGGTACACGAACCATCTGATGCAAGGGATGGTTAAAGACTTAGGCTGACTGGTAGACGTCCCCTAAGGGGTGGCTCACAGGCATCAGCCAACAACAGCGGACCACAGCCCCGAAACAGGAGGAAGGTGCATGAGCCAACCCGGCTGAAAGTTGGCATGAAGTGGTCAAGGTCGCATTGTGGAGGACTTGCGGGATAATTTGCTGGAGCTCACATCGGGGGTTACAGACAAGCTCGACCCGGGAAGCCCGTTCCACACTCGTGCGGAAAGCAGAGGAACATAGACACCAACCCACCTATTCTTTGTCTTCCCTATCACTCTCCTTGTTCTTGCAGCTCTCCGAGAGCCAACGAGCGGTGGACGATCTAACGAAGGCCCTTTTGCCCGTCATGTCGACTGACTCTGCCTCGACGACTCAGGAAGATGCGAGTCCCTTTCACACTGAGTTGGTTGCCTGTGGACAAACTGGTCATCTCCGTGCCCTCGATAGGATTCTACGTCCTGCCTCGCCAACCTCGGAGGTTTGGGACACCGAAACTCAATACAACAGCGTAGGCCATCGCGACGAACAGGCGCAAGGCGAGATTGCAGAGTCACCTACAGCAGAGGCACATCCGGTGCTCGCACCCAGCCATCTTCATGACTCTTCCTCTTGCAGCGACGGGAAGGAGAATCGTCCTCCTGGGCTTGTATTTCAGGTCGCCGTATCCGACACTTGCCATCGAGTAGAGGCCAACGGTTCCATCGATAGCGGACAGGACGAACAAATTGAACTAGAGTTCGGCTTCCCCTCTTCGCAAGCCTGTTCAAATCACCTTGAGGTTCTCCCAGTGTTCTCCTCCAGGCTCGTCACGATGCACCAGACAGCGCGAGCGAAGGAGCCATGATGAAATCACCGGGAGGAAGGATGCATGGCTTCGATCGCCTGAGCAAAGATGGCAAGCTCCTAGGCAAAGGCACAGGAGGCAGCGTGTTCAGAAATTTCGGAGGAGCAAGCGACCGGCCGTGGAAGAGTGTTGAATTTGAATATCTTTACCAGCCCATAGAATGGGAGTGGTCCCCTTGATGCCTCCTCTATGAAACATTGATTCCACAAGCTAGCATCAACATCCTCGGTCTTCATACGAGACTTGTCGGGGAACTGCCTCGTATTGGCGATTCATGCGATGTGTGCTGGTAGTTCAATACGTTGTAGCCTGTAAATGCCCCCTGCTGCCTTTATTTACAGTTACCGTGCATTCAAGGAACAAGTTTTGATGACAGCATCGCCTCAAGCTCCGCATAACTTGCCCCATCACTCCACGAATACTGTAGAGCCTCTAGGACACGGCTTACATATTGGACATTCGGTAAGCAAAGGCCACAGCGTAAGGTAAATCGTCCTTACCGTTAATCCGAAGCATTCCATTCCAACCAGCCGCTGACGCAAGGTATTTTGCTGGTATGGGTCACGGTAGCAATGCCTACAGTGAGGAGTGGCCACAACGTTGCCAGTTGGTCGATACCCATCGTAAAGCGGCCCATCAATGTGATGATCCGATCGGCAGCAGTCTTTACTTCAGTGTTAAGGGCCGCGCCTCCAATCCTTCTTGTGGTAATTCTTTCGAGATAGATGGTGCATGCTAGACCACTGTACGCATGCTGCTGTTGTTCGAGCTTCGATGGCCTTATCGTTTTCATCAGTCTCATATCCCGGCATGTCCTTTTGCGAGTCCAAGGAAGTCCTTCTTTGGGACATGCCTTTCAGACGACTGGTGGAAATTTGCGTGAACTAAGGTAGGCACTTCAGCCGATGAGAATGTAACTGGACCGAAGATCATGCATACGAGATGATTTGCACGGAAGGCTTCTTTTCCTTTAATGCATGCTTTGGAGGCAACTATGAAAGTATTCTCGAAGCGTTTGCATCGACCTGAACAGGGCATCTGCGTTTGACCCAAACCTGGGACGCTTACATTAACGGAGATAGCCGTAGGCAGAGAGTGGATAGTGACGTAAATTACCGTCTGTCAGATTCAATGCCCTCGGATAATACCAGGTGCTCCGTCGACCGTTCAGTACCGTGGTCTGTCACCGCAGACAGTTGCATCTCTCTGCCTACCCGTTTCCTCTGGTGCTCTCTCATCATACTGTCCAGAGGTACTGCTGGCACAACTAAAATCGCCAGACAAAGTCCACACTGACCTCCAAATTGGTGTCCCACCCAACCAGTTGCAAACACACTAGGAGCCCAGATGATGCTAGGAACACCAATCCACTTACCGCTCCAAGCCACGGCAATCCCTGGTTTGACGTCGGCACCTCTGGCTGGGGCTGGTTAGAGCGCTGGCCAAAACGACGAAAACACTGCGTCTTCCTCCATATCGCCATAACCATAATAGTGGAAGTCAAGTGAGACACCATTGAAGCAGCCCAGCAGTATTCGACACCAGATAGTCTAAATTGCCAGACTGTCGCCCCAATAAAGGGAAGGTGAAAACCTAATACCAGTCCAAAAATGATGAGTCTCGCCTGATTGACAGCGTGAGAAAAATACGCGTATATCAAGGGATCGACAATTTGAATAAGCTGTAAACCATAAGCATATTGGGAGATAACTAGACGGGCCTGAGTGAGAAGTACCTCGATGATGTCGACGCAAAACATGGTGACCCCTTTCCAGGTCGTGAAGAAGGGGTAGGCAAGGACGCTCGGTAGGAGTGCATTTCTCGCACTACCGAACAAAGAGGCAAATATTACTCCTGCACCCAAGAAGATACAGGCCGTGGAAATCAATGCCCAAGTTCGCCTACGCGAAGCTTTTCGCGGCTTGACTCTGATCATCCAGTACAGGTAGGAAGCCAGAAAGACCGTGGTCACGGCAAACACGACACCAGCCTCGGTGACCTCCTTGATTGTAATCTCGTCTTGCATGTCGAAATGCGGCAACCGTGAACGGCGGATAGAGCGGAGTTCGGACTTAGATTAGAGTAGTGAGAATATGAGCATGGGGCTTGCCCGGAACAAGACGTGTTTTATATGATGTTGAGTCATAACAGCGAGTGTTGGTATTTGGAAAATAGCGCTTAGATGAAGAGAGCCGCTGGACGTTGTCTAGCCGCTTTGCAAACCGTTGGCAGGCATACCCAGAGTGAGGTGGTGATGGGGTGCTTGTGCATAGCAAGGTTACACCATAATTGCCTTGAGACTGGGTTATAGTTGATATGATTATCTACATATATGAGGCGGGTGAGCTTCCTCCACCTTGAAGCGGCATGGTCAGAGTCGGGTGGGCGGAATGGCACGTCTTCAACAGGTCAATGCGGTTGGCCCCCGGTTATGAGGTCATCCAGTAAATCGGCATCACCAGCAGGGCATACAACCTGGTTCATGCACTATGGCTTGCATACGTCTACGCTCGTCTTGACTAGGAGGTCGGAACGCCATGGAGCTGTGTAGAAGGCAACTAGCCCGGGTCTGCAGTAAAATTGAAGGTGGCCGTGACGACACCAGAAGGTTTCTGGTGGAGATGGATTAAACAATGAAGGTCAAGGACACGAGCAACAGGTGTCCCTGATCCATTCCACATTTGGATTTGTGAGACAACAGTGCGGCTGCAGGAAACGTGACTCTCAGCTGTGAAAATTCTGGAAGATGAGCTTCGTGCTGGCTCGCAGAGCCAAGAACCTGGCTCACCCCTGGTCGTCCCTGATCTCGGCCTCGTCGGGGCCGTGGGTTGTCAAACGGGAAGGGAAGGAACACAAGGTAGATCACTGAGAAGAAAACGATAACTAGTTACTTGGCGATTCCTCCGGCTTGTTCGTCTCCTCAAGAATCATCTCCAGGGCCCTTGCTAAAAGTACTCTACCCTCATCACTGTCTAACTTATCAACAGAACACGATCCTTGACCCTCCATAAAACCGCGCTCGCACCGCAACTCGCTAGTTTGACGATTCTTGTGGTTTCTTCCTGCCATGTTTCGCGCATGCTTATTTCTATTTTGGCCATGATGCTCTCAAAAGCCGGGATGTTTACTCCACACCCAACCTGAAAGGCCCCACAAATTTCTATTCTCACTGAGCTTTCGACACTCCCAGTAACGGAATAGAGATGCTTTATCTCTAAGGTTGTGGAACTTGCTGCGGAATATTTTGTCCTGCATACACCTCTCGCAAGTTTCGGTGATGATCTGAAACGGTTGAACTCCAAGCTGGCATGGCTGTTCATGGGTGCATTGCTTCTGATTAACCTCGTTGAGGTGACCGCACCTAATCGAGCCTTGGGTGATAATATGTGATACCATCGTTTTATTGCAGGCAGGTTGATAGCGCTTTTGAGCGGCAGAAAGGTTGAAATGGTGATGACTTTGTCTACACATGCACCTTTCAATGCCTTCTTTATATGTCAAACTACAGCTCCGGAGCTGCTAGCATTCTCTATGCACCTATATGCCGTTGGCCGTGTCCCCTGTGGCGTACAGGCAAGGCAGGATTAATGCGACTTGACGCACCGTACAGTTGCCGCCGAACTACTGCAACCAACCAAACCAAGTGGCCATCATGGCTCAAGACCGGACCTCCTTCGGCGTCAGACGATGCCACTAGATGGTGAGGCATGACATACCATTTTGAGCAGGTGGTGACCCCATGCCTTTTTCCCCCTCAATATGGGGGGGTCCACTATCTGCAGGCTCTTCGCATCAGCCGCACGAGCGCCAGGAATGAAGAGCTTGGAAGGTTTGGCTAGGCTGCCCACCACCAACGATTGCAGGATCTCCGCCTTGCAGAGAAATCCAAGTACAGCCTCACTAATCCCTCCTACTCGTGCCCGCCCCCACTTTAAGGGGATTCGCTTTGGCTCACCCACTAAAGTGGGGCGTGGCACGGGTACGTGGTCGAGGCCTGCCCGACCCAGCGACGTAGGCCAATCATTCGAAATATATGTGGTTCCTTCCTTCCTTAACCTACCTCCTAAACCTTCGGAACAACAAGTCTTGATCGAAATCCCGGCAGGTTTAGATCCAACGCACCGTTCAGCCCTAACCTTCTTCGGAGCTACACGCATCTTCGCTACCAATAACCTTACCACATAGGATTAGGTGCGTATCCCTGACGTAAGACTGACAGTCTGCGCACGTTTACGGTAACTAAGGCGTCTTGGCACGGGGCAAGGGGATTTAGATTCTCGGCTTTCCTTAACCCTCCTTACCCCCAGACCCCGCCTTGGTAAGAAAATTTGACCTTCGTCACCTTCCTCTCTTCATGAACTTGCCTTCCAAATCTGCCTTCCAAATATCAAATCTTCAAGCAGATCATGGAAGGCGACTCGTTGACCTCCAGCGTTAACGGGCCTCAGACAAGCCGAGTCGCACTGCTCTTCAACCAGCTAAGCAACTATGAGCGCGCGCCTAAAGGGTTCATGAAGTCGTGGCGAGAAACCCAACAAGCTGGAGAGTGTTCAACCGCAAGAATATTCCTAGACGAAGGCAAATTCCCAGCCTGGTTCGCATATTTTCTCACCAAGAACGCTGCAGAAACCCGGTATCATTTCCATGGGAAAGCTGAGTGTTCTCGTTTGATCAGTGATCTGGAGACTGAGTCTGTCGCGTCTCGAAACTGTTGGCGGCACAAGTTGCCGCCGCGATTGACCGGAAGTAGCTCAGAAAATCAACAGTCTGCATCACAAAAGGATCAAACCGCTTCAAAATGGAAGCATGGTCCATGACTCGAAGAAAAGACGCAGTGAGTCGTCGGCCATATCCCAGTGAGCCTTCTAATACGGAACAGGTATAATAGACAGTGATGATCGTCCACCACCTTCCCCTGCCAATCTGCGCAGCCCGACCACGACGCCAAACGTGCCGGAACTGTCTCTCGATCATGTGCCAGATCAAACGTCGCTATGCTCTTCTGTCGACCTATCCTATTGCTTCGCCGAAAATGAACATGTGCTTGTCAATGCGTCCCTCGCCAATGCTACGCGCCTCTTTCCACGAGACCTCTCGAACGGTATCAAGAGAAATCATGACCCAATAGACGGAAACGTTCTGGCTGCCGCCATATCAATGACATTTCCCAATGCGCCGTTCACGGAAAAATTTGGATGTCAGATGGCACTGAAGTCACAGACGACAAGGTACAGCATCTTGCACGAGAATTATTCGAGGTGCGCTTAGAGACGAGGGCCGGACTTCGGTATGTGTGTTTCGCCGGCGGCTGCTCGAAAATACTGCCCAACCCCAAATTCACATTCCAGGGGTGTCGGCGCAACGTTATTCTGTCCACTTCGGCTCCGATATATCCAATGCAATCACAGCAAGCCCTCTGTATCAGGATGAAACCAGGCAATGGCGCGACAGTACAGACTGCGTATCAATGGTAATCTCGCACCAAGCTCACGACGGAGCTCTCATCTTCGTATCTCTGGGGTTATGGGAAGGAATTCAGATCAGGAAGAAATTGTATGTTTGATGGTGTGGATGCTCAAGTTCCTTCTTTCACCCTCCCATCCCTGCCGCCAAACAAAAGACTAGTGCCCTTCGGCACCGTCCCCTCCCCATCGCAGGTCTCGTGGGCTTTCGTAGGGGTTTTTGTATCGCCAGTATTATAGATTTGTATGAAGGAGTTCCTCCAGTACACCATTTGGCCTGATCCATCAATTGTGGTGGGAGTTTTTCCAGCATCGCTGAAGAAACTTTCGTCTTTCGTGAGATCTTGTATCTCAAATGACTGATGATCATGTTAGGCGAATCCTGATTTACAGAAGGGAACAGACCATCGGAATCTGATCTTTGCACTCAAGAAAGCAAAATTTAAGGATCGTGACTGATGGAAGCCTTCGGCGCCCGGCGCGGTCTGGTCGAGAGCGTTGCGAATTGGAGGCGAACGACGATTATCGTTGAAGATGAGGCGGCAGTATTTGAGCGTCACAAGCTGCACAAAGTCTCCTGATTTTGGATCGCGACCAAGGATAGTAGAGTCCTTTGGGATGGGCGTGATCAGATCGACGACATGGTTGGGGGAGGTGGCGAAGGAGGGGTTGGGCATGGATGCGTCTGGCAGGAAAATCTTAGATTCGAAGTGGGGGCACGCCATAACCTCGGTATTAGAGGGGGTCGCAAAATTGACCGTGGCCTTAGGTCACGTGGGGGAAGGGATGAAAGGGAGCAGAGTATTATCAAGGGGGTGGTTATCCGTACAACACATTTTGGTAAATGTACAACAGAAAGTGGAGTAAACGTGGCTTGGGTGTACCTAATACATGGCCAAAGGTCGTAGGCATGCAGGCATAGCACTTACACAAGGCCACACAGGCAGAGGTTGCAAGGCCATAACAGCCAGACGTTGTGAAGCCTGCAGAGTGTTGCAAGGCTATACAAGAAGAGGGCACACAAGCAGAGGCCATACAAATCAGGCGGCTTGCAGCCTCACAAGGCTATAGCCTGCCTGCTGCCATGTCGTATTGCGCGAGAGGCGGGTGATGCGCACGTACTAAGTACCTTCTATACATTTGACTGTGGCGTACTGTGGCGTATAGAGCCAGCCAATAGAAAAGGTGGCGCCACGTCTGCCCTGCCTTTGTTGTACATTTACCAAAATGTGTTGTACGGATAACCACTCCCATTACTAGGGGCCTCAAAGTCAGCCAATCCCGTGACAGCTCCACAGTCACGGGGGCGGTTGACCTAGAAAAGCTCGTTGACCTGGAAAAAGAAGTACATAAGAGCCCCGCCATTTTGCTAGAACTTAAAAGTACCTCTCTTCCTCGATAAGTGCAACACATGTTCGCTTTATTGCAAGCTAGTCATAGCAATGCAAATGCATCACCATACTGCCTTTGAGGTGTTTTTGGTGTTTTGGCATCGAATTGAGCTCTATTCGATTTCTTCTTCCTTCCCAGCCTCGAGCGCGTCTTATGATTCCTCTTTATCGCATCTCGATGCCGTCAGCTTCCAAGGAAAGCGTCTGACGGCAAATAGCACGCTTATTTGCCTCCATCACCACTAATTCGGCTGCTTCCTTTACAATCTCGCGATCATAGTACTCCGGCCACATGATCGCCTTGCTTTGCCCTACGCCGCGGTTGTGTAGCTCGCGGAGAATCCTGTAGCTTGCGCACATCCACTCATTGCAATTGAGGTGTGCGCGCTTGTCGCCCTTGGCCCAGAGACCTCTGATGTCTCGAATCTTCGCCTCTGTGATGCTAATCCTGACGTTGAAGCGTACCTTGCGAAGCCAGCGGCGTATATAGCCAGCTTCGTCGCGAACCTCCTTATTCCTGACTCTCTGTGCCTCCTCTTCTTGTGCCGCTTGTCTATTGTATTCGTCTCGGGCGACTCGAATTCTAGCGTCACCGTCGCTTAATGGGCCGTATCTCGCTACAATAGTTGTCTGTTGCTGGAGACTGGAGCGCTTGGCTTGTTTCTCTTTATCTTCGTCATCTCGGCCGTTGCGGTGATGCCGTTGAGAGCGAGGGTTTTGTCGGCTTTCCGCGCCTTCTCATAGACGTATGTGACGGAGGAGTCAACGGCATGTGGAGTCAACTGATGTGGCTAGACGAAGCTGTACGTAGGCGTGATACCTCTGAATCGTAGAGAGGTTGAGTCTCGGCGTTGAAACATTGTTCCAGTTGAATCGTTGAATCGAGGCGGCGTGTGTGGCGATGGTGTTGATGGTCTTGCTGCCTGAGGCCCGCCCTGAGGCTCGCTTTCGATCGAGCCCGGCAGGTCCTTAATGGCCACTTCTTCTGTGAGCGACGAGAGCGTGTCTTGAAGCTGGGAGAGCACGATCCCGGATTGAATGGGAAGAGGCCACATTTCTGCCAAGATGAGAGAATTGTGTGCTTTTGAAGGTGCGAGTGCGGACCTCTTGGAGATGATATAGAAAATCGGACTTGTTAAAGTCATATGCCCCGTCAGCAATCTCACGATGTAGAACTTGTTGATGCCAGTGTTTGTATGACCTAAAAACGCCGACATCAAGAGGTTGAAGCTGATGTGTAAGATGGGGAGGCATTGGGAAGACCTTAATGTTGTGATCGAAGCAGAAGTGAACCATCTCTTCTGTATAGTGATTATCACAGCTATCCATAAGTAGAAGCCGCTTCTGAAGTGGATCAACCGGTCTCGTGTGTTTCTCGAAGTGTTTGATCCATTCAATCGCGATGACATCGTTAATATACCCCTTTTGGCTGGTTGAAATGATGGTATCGTCGTCAAGGCTGTTGGTAACCCAACGGGCAGGAATTTGGACTCCAGGGAGTATCACAAACGAAGGAATGCAACTCCCAGCTGCAGAAATAGCCTCAATCGCTGTGACCGACACTGTATCGTGAGCGTCAGATAAAATAGGGGTATCAATCTCGCGGAAGGTCCAAATAAATGTGCCTTTATGTAGATATCCCACCATGAAGCCTGTCTCGTCGAAATTCCAGGTGTTCTTAGGGAGAATCTCGTCTTTCTCGATCGTTTGAGACCAGCCGCGAAAAAAAGCCTCAACGTGGATGCGATCTTGCATAGCCTTCCGTTTGATGTCTCGCGCTGCTGCTCTTCGACGGTGGAAGAGTTCTCTATGCCGCTGTATAAAGCGCTTGGCCCAGGCTCGCGATGCTGTAGCTCCCACGCCCTTTGCCTTGAGAATGGCGTTGGCGTGTTGTTGGAGCGCACGACCCTGGATGTGGTGCCCTGTGTGATGCGGCGATGTGCCCGCAAAATACCTCCTCTTCATCCGAGGAATCAAGCAGGGCACGGTTGCCCCATTCTCGGCCGTTGAGTGATGCCCATTGACTCGATAATAGAGGCGCTTGTAGGGCACGCCAAGCGCCTCGCCGCGGCCACAATTGAGCCGTAGAAGCCCTCGTAGTAGAGCTCTGCTCCTGCAATAGTTCGCGTCTCGAGGTTTGCGGTTGTATGGCGCGAAAAGTTGGGTAAGCCGGTAGCAGAATCGATCCATTTTTGGACAGCAGACTCTTTAGCTTTTGAAGAAGCCATAGTCAAAGAATTGGCCTTCCTCGATGACTATTGAGATAGTGACGTGACGATAAAATGGAGTGTTATGACGCCATCGTGAAATGGGTTCTGAATTATTGCCATAGGGGTATATGCGGGGTCGAATTGTAACTATGGTAGATATGATCTTAAACATGTCTACTTTTATTGTATGATGCGTGCACACTAATTGAAGTACCCAGGTTTTTTCAGGTCAACGAGCTTTTTCTAGGTCAACCGCCCCCGTGACTGTGGAGCTGTCACGGGATTGGCCGACTTTGAGGCCCCCTAGTATCAATATTGTGCCGCCCCACTTTTTCGGATTGACACGAAGCGAAATCCGAAAAAGTGGGGTCGGGCACGAGTAAAGAGTAGTCTGTAAGTATTGAATGGCCCAGGGTCAAGCGTGTGTGGGTACGGAATGCCCTTGCCTTGTGCCTTTGCCTTGAGGAACGATGTCTTGAGGAACGAAAGGACTTCATTAGCGCGCGGGAAAAAGGCCCCAGACTTGCTTCACCCTCAGAATTCTCCGCCTCTGATTGGCCCACCAGGTCTCTCTCCGCACCTTGGACACGAGCATGATGCCGTCTGGAGTTCGGCAGCGCGATAGCTACACGTACAAGCTGTACGGGTCGCACTGCGAGGGCACAACCATTCCATCGATCTTCGTCGTCCGTGTCCCTCGCAGCTCGAGGGCCACGCGCTCAAGCGTTCGGCCCTGCACCTTATAGTCCGTGCACGCGAAAGGCTGCTGCGCACGGCAAACCCTTCCGGCTGACGTCGTTCTGCTGCCACGGCCGCTTTTGTTGGCAGTCTATCTTGACGCTCATCGGCGTCAGCAAGATCGTGCCCGGCGGCATCCCGACGAAGTGGAGGCCCTTTGTCGTCTCCGATTCGAGAATGATCCCCGCCGGCGGCCCGAAGTGAAGCATCATGTGTGTGTGTGTGTGTGTATTTTTCGTCCAGCGACCTTCAGGTCGCTCAGGTCCCCGAGACGGGGCACAGGACATGCTGAGCTGCTGGAAGTCTACAGTCTACTTATACAGTGAAAATAGGGCGGCCCACAGACCGTGAAAACACCCATGCCATCTGTTCCCGCAGAACGTAAACAAACCATCATCCAGCATTTCATCGGCTCAGAGGCACTTCTTTGCTCAGCCTGTTTCCCGTCAGCGGGACTTCCAGGCGCGACAGTTACTTTGTCTTTCTATTTGGTCTTGCGGGACCGTTGTCGGAGACTGCGAGGGCAGGCTCAGAAGTGAAGCATCATGTCGGCCGAGATCCGATGTCCCGGTACGCCTTGTCGACAATGACCTCCACCGCCGAGTAGCTGGCGCCGTTCACCAGCTTCAGCCCCTGATGGGTGTTGTGGTTCACGACGACCGGCATCCCGGCCACGAACATGAAGATGGCCGGCACCGGGATCGCGCTGTCGTCGCCCTGGTTGAGCATCATGATCGCCTCCTTCTCCGTCGGCAGCTCCTCTTTCCACTTATGCTCGGAGATGAAGATGCGCATCATCGACTGTTGCTACCCGGAACGACAAGCTCGCCTCCATATTTAGGTTCCAACGATTCCGGTTCAGCGGCGTCACCACGGTGATGCCCGCCTCCCACGGGATCCGCCTGCCCTCCCGGTAGCACCTTGAGTTGAGGAGGTATAGATCCGTGCGGTCCTGCACGCCCAGTCGGATTCGCTTCAGCAGCCCCTGCAATTCCGGATCCCCGGCGGCTCGCATTTGCTCGTCCAACATGACGACCGTCGTAAACCTCTTCCACAGCGCGTGCGCTTTGTCGTGCTGGTGCCGCTGCTCGGCCCTGAACGAGTTGTCTACGTCCCACGAAAAAGCCGCGCTCGGCAGGAGGATCGACCTCTCTTGACCGGCCGGAACTGCTGAAAGTCCCCGCAGAAGAGAACGATGGGGATCCCCCCCAAATCTTCCGGCGATCCGCGAAGCCGGCAGAGCTGCTCGTTCACGGCGTGCAGCGTCCGTGATCCGAGCATGCTCACCTCGTCGATGACGAGCACGTCCTTCTCGTGCCAGCTCATCCGAGACTGCCCGTGGATGAACCGCTCCGTCCGTTTTGGCAGCCGCACCCCGTCGAGATCTTTGGCCGTGTTCGCGCCCGCCCCTTGGTCCTTGCTAAACCCGCAGGCGGAGTGGATCGTGATGCCATTGATCCGCGCCGCGGCAGCCCCTGACGGCGCCGTGATCAGCAGACGATTCGAAAGGCTCTTCCTACTGAACAGCTCGACGAGTGCCTCTATGATTCACGACTTGCCGGTACCCCCCTCGTCGCCGACGAACTGGCACAGCTGGCCGGCATCGCACCTGTCGCTTCGTCGCATCAAATCGAGCTGGCGGCATATTATTAGGAAAGCGATCGACTGCCTTTTATTCAGCGTCAACCGTGTTGCCAACCCCCTGCCCGCCGCGAAGAAGGAGGCTGATGGTCCGAACAGGACGCGCATTCCCGCGTTTACGTCGCTAGCGGTCTCGTCGGAGTCTGCCATCGTTATTTCGATCTCGTCCTCCCCGAAGCCAGTCATCACTCTCCGCAACGCAGCGCGGCGGTCGCTTCCCCAGGCCACGGGTGTGCTCTGTATGCCTTGGATCATCCGCTCCTCTCCTCCGAGGCACTTGCCTGCTGCGACTTGATGGCCTTGACCTGATCCTGCGGTGGTAGTGCGGCCCCGGAAAATATCCGCCCTGGCATGCTTATCCGCCTCTCCCTCGTTCGGTCATCACGGTGGCCGCGAGCTCGGCCGTCGAGCGCAGCGCCGATTGCTGGAATCGACAGAGCTGCTGCATCATTGCCGTGAGCTCCGGCGACTTGGCCTTCACCTGATTCGTGCCCACTGCACCTCGGACGACGTCGATCAGCCGCGTTGCGTCTCCGATGCTGTTGGACTGATACGTCGCTGCGGATCCCGCGCCCGCGCCCGCGCCCGCGCCCGCCTCGCTCGCCCCACCCTTCTCCACGTGTGCGACCGTGGGGTCGCCATCGCTGGACGAGGCTGCCCATTGCTTGGCGTCACGCTTTGCGTCTTCAGCTGATCGTCGGAGCAGCTGCACGTGGTCGACGAGACATGATATTCTGGGAGCCAGCGCCTCGCGCCCGCGCCTCGCGCCCGCGCCTCGCGCCCGCGCCCAGATGCCATTGATATCGCCTGTTTCTTCGCATAGGAAGGACTCCCACGGCACGAAAAGCGCTAGGTGCTGCACGGCTGCCCTGTGAGGGGGGGCGAGTTAGCCTCTCCGATAATGCCTGTCGGCGGAGCAGTTCCCATACACACCTCCTCCGATGGCAGGACTCCTCGTCGCCGTGGGCGAAGTCCTTTGCCCGATCCCGACCAAACCCCAACCAAGAGACCGCGACTTTCTCCCGAAACTTCCACCATAGTCGCCGCCTGTAATAGTCAAGGCTCCGCCAAATCTGACACTTCCTCCGTTCTGTCTCAGGAAGACCCCGCAGAGTCAGAGACAGACACCGACCCAGTCAATCACCCAGACACATCCACCCCTGGCTCTATCAGACCTCCCACGTCGATCTCTTCCCGACCGCACCGCGCCCGACATCCGCCCAAGAATATTCTGTAAAGCATCGAACGAAACAACACAACATGACAAGGAACATGTTTCATCATACTCAAACGCAAGGTGCGAAAGGCTCGAATAGGACATTCCCTTCTCCTCTTGCTCACCTTTTCACAAAGACAATCCAGTCAAAACTTCTCCAATATACTCCTTATTCTGTTTATATCTACTACCACTTAAGGGATTTTCCGATGATCTGCCGGATCTGGTGATCTGCCGGATTGCGACGACTTCGCACAGCCTCCATGGCGTAGTGGTGACACGTCTGGAGCCTCTGCGTCGCAGAGGGGTCGGTTCGAAGCCGTCTGGAGGCACCCCTGAGCGAACAGGGTACACCCGGGTTCCCGCCCGTCAACAGGGAACAGCGTCATGAGAGAACACAATCGGCGTACCAACCACCATCAATGACTAACACAACCACGCTTCAACTTCGACACATCGCGCTTCAGTTGCTGGGAATAGGATGCTAAACACTTGGAGAAATTGACCTTCAAGCAGGTCTGTCATGGAGCAAGACAGTGGTACGGTTGGCGCAGCGTAAGATGATCTGTGGGGCTTGGGGAGTCAAGGAACAAAACGTGCTGAACTGTACTCTGGACTGTGTAAAGGCCTTATAGGGACGAAATAAATCCTACCTACCTACCTACCGACATTCTGTCTCAACATCAATCTGGAACGTCTCAACAACCATGGCGGCTATTGACGAAGCGCTTGCTTTCCTGAAGTCCTCAGAATCGGTCAATTACGCTGAAACAGTTCGCCAATTTGGCTGCGATGAGACCACGTTGCGCCGCCGCGGCGCCGCCATCAAGGCAAACAGCGCTCAAGACGCGATGCGGACTCCCTCTATAAATCTCGACTTTCAAAACAGCAGGAACTAGATCTTGTTGCTTATATTCAGAAGCTTTCGTCACGTGGCATCCCGCCTACGCTGTCTATGATCAAGAACTTCGCTCAGGATATGGCGAAAATGAAGGTAGGAAAGAACTGGCCGTATAGCTTCGTCAACCGCCATCGTAACGAGCTTGGTTGTACCTGGTTCGATGGATTTGATGTGGCGCGAAAGAGAGCCGACAGTGCTTCAAAGTATAGAGATTATTTTGAGCTGGTAAGTTGATGCACAGCAGCATCTCATTTCCGTTGCTGACGGTAGAAGTTACGCTCAAAAATTGAGGAATACGACATCGCCCCTTGCAACACGTATGTATAACATGGACGAAAAAGGCTTTCTCTTGGGTGTCATCAACCGAACTAAGAGAGTGTTCTCTCTCAATCAGAAAAAGCAAGGCAAATTGCTCGGTGCATCGCAAGACGGCAATCGATCCTGGATCACGTTCGTAGCTTGCATCTGTCAGGACATGACATCGCTGCCTCCTTTTCTCATCTACCAAGGCAAGCCAGGACAAGTTCAGGATGCTTGGCTTACGGAATTTGACCCAGAGCATCAATCAGCCTTCTTTATGACCTCGGATACAGGCTGGACCAACCACGAGCTTGGAAAAGAGTGGCTTGTCGGCGTTTTTGATCGGTTTACTAAGGCAAAGGCGCGAAACGGCCGCGATTATCGCCTTCTCATTACCGATGGCCACTCGAGCCATATTAATACGGACTTTCTGGAGTGGTGTGACCAGCATCGGATCATCGTTGCGGTGTTTCCTCATTCTACTCATCGGCTCCAGCCCTGGACGTATCTCTATTCGGTCCCTTGTCGACGGCATATACAAATCAGCTTATCCGGTGGATGGCAAAAACACAAGGACTTGTTGGGCTGTCCAAACGCGAATTCTGGACCTTGATTTTGAACGCATTGGAGGCGTCCTTCTCCCCGGAGAACATCGCAAACGGGTGGATGCGGACCGGCCTCCTGCCTTTGGACTCCGAAGTCGTCTTGTCACAGATTGTGAAGAAGGAATACGACGATTCCGATGCAGGCAGCGATTCGGAAGACTCCCTAGCATTGCAGCAACCTACCGCTCGAGAATTACGACGGCTTGTCGACAAAGTGGTCGATAAATCCACCGCCAATGCTGAAGTCAGTGCTCAGAAGCTGAAGAGCACTCTTGAAAGTCTTCAATCCGAGGTTGAGCTGCTCAGATATGAGAACAAGGGACTCCGTGAGACTATAATTCATGAGAAACAGCGCAGGCAGCGTGGTACAGCTCTGAAAGATTATCTCTTTGACCGTACGGATCCTAACTCTGCTCAGGTCTTCCGCCCGCAAAAAGTGGCTCAAGCTCGAGTGAAGAAAGCGGCTATGGAGGTCCAGAAGAAAGAGGAAGCAATCCAGAGGGAATTCCAGAGGGTTCAGCGACAGAAAAAGGCGGAGGAGCAAAAAGAGCAGGCGTTGGAAAGAAAGAAGCAGCGAGAGGAGAAAAGGGAGCGAAAATTGCAGGAAAAAGAAGCCAAGAAGCAAGAGAAAGCGGCCAGTCGACAACTTCGAGACGATCTCAAAGGTGTAAACCGGGAAAGTGCGCAACAAGCCGCGGCCCCAGCGGGTGCCTTCTAAAGCTCGAGAGAGAGTCCAGGGACTCTAGACGAAATAGTCGTCGCTCTTCCACCAACCCCAGAGCTTCCGGTAACATCGCAGCCGCCAGATCAGCCAAAGGACGGGTTAGCAAAGAAGGTAAGGAGTCATCGATGGCCTTGATAGCGTGAACCTTGCGGTGCGCCCTGAGTTCGTCACCAATGCGGCAAATAAGAGACGTCTGAGGAAAACAGATATAATTAATTTGAATTGATTTAAGGCGTTTAGAATTGGGATTTTGATGGTTATGGCCGCATGGGTGTGGATTGGTGTCCAGCTTACTTGTCTGTCCAGCTCACTTATCAAGTACGTTACACTTCAGTGAAGTTCAGTCCATCATTTGAGCCCTTCTCTCCGTGCCTAGTGCTGCGGGCCCTCACGGGTGGATGCTACAGGTTTCTTATGGGTTTCGCCGCCCGTTAGAGCTGGTCGAACAAATGTACTCTCTAGTGACTTTGACCTTCTTCTGAAGGCGGTCCGACATTGCTGGACTGGCTTTCCTCGGCTTCGGCTTCTGAGAGTCTGCCACATGGGAAGTATTTTGCGTCTCCCCGTTCGCCGATGCTGGAGCGAGCTTTGGTAGCTGAGGTGGCTGAACAATGCGCTCCCATTTGCTCGAAAAGTTAACGTCGTTGACACGTTCGTGGCCATGCGACCTATGCGTATGACCATTCATAGTCGCAGGGTATTCATCGATAGCTTCTATCCATCGCCAAAGCCGTCTGTCTGCCACGAAAAGGGGATTATGTTCGGACGCAAGTGTGATCTTCTGAGCCAATGCAAGTCGTCCCTGCCCGACAGCACTGAAATACTCTCTCTCACGCCTTTTGACTTCGCTTTCGGGCTCGTCGTCAGCTGCCAGTGCTTCCGCCAACGCCAGTGCCTCAGGGTTTGTGGCCAGTCCAGCGAGGATCGCGCGAATATGGTTGGCACCGCCACCATCTTGAGAAATGGAGCAACTAAGTGCAAGTTGATGGAGTGCCTCTAAGTGGTGGTAATCCTGCAGGGCATCCAGGTTCACTAGGCGCATTAGATGTGACATCATGTCACCTATCGTCCAGTGCTTGGGCTCGGGTACAAAACCGCCGATAGTCCTGCTCTCGTCTTCAAACCCGGACCGAAAGGCGTCGACTGAGGCCGAGTCAAACACCAAATCCCGGGGGGTGTGGTAGACCAGGGGGTGCCGAGTAATTGAACGGGCGGAACAGTGGACGAGAATGCCCAGTCGATAACGCATGTGATATTGAATTCCCCATCAACAAAGATGTTCTGGGTGCTGAGGTCATGGTGACATAGAGGAAAGCCGAACATCCGCGGGATATTCGGCCGAGTCAAGTGAGGGATGATTTGGTCGCGAATGAGATAGCTAGCAATGCTGTATTGCAGGCGATTTTTGCTCGACTCTGCCTTGCCACCAAGAGCAGCGTAGTCGTTCCACCGTCGCTCGGCAGAGCGATATTTGGTGAAATCTGAGTACTCCTGGGGGATGGGAACAGGCGCGAGGAGAATGTGGTGTTCCATTGGGAGTCGCTCAGCATGTAGAAGAAGGGCAGAGACGAGGAGGAGTAGTAGTCGGCTCTCCATGGTACGGGCCACGCGAGATATCTTCAATATCGTCGCGGCCGTGGAGAACATGACCGGGGGAGAGACACTCCTCGATGTTGTAATCTTCGCCATCCTGTTCGAAGAGGGATCCAATTGTAGCAAACCGTAATTGGAATAGCTGACACGCGTAGTTTCCAAGCTGTCTCATAATCTTCCCCTTCTCGTCCCGAGTCATAGCCCGTACCGGGTCTGTAGGACTTGCAGGCTTAGGGCGCTCATGGTTATACGTTTGCCAGTCGTACGTTGCGAGAGGATTGCCGGCAGCCTTGCTCATAAGGATGTACGGGATTCCGATATCATTCTGGTCGGTCACGCTTTGCTCATGTCAGCAGTATCCCTAGGCTTGAGGCTGGAAGACACAAAGTTACCAATAATGGAACACCTCTGGAACAGGAATAGAAGTGTGTTTGCGGATATACTTCAGCGTAGCGGCCTCGCTAGCCAAAAGACGGCAGGCGGCAGTATCGCCAACAACAGCATATCTCGTCCTGGGCGATCGGAAAACCCACTCGACACCGTCATCGAACTTCAACAATATTGCCCAATTCAAAGCGCCGGACATCGGGGCTTGAGATACGTCGCAAGTACATGGCTGATGTCGGAACCGTTCTGCTAAATGAAGGAGTTGTACAAGGTTGAAATCGCCATGGTAGAATATATCTCTCTTGCGGCGTTCAGCAGGCATAGACTCCGGCATCGAGGCTCAGCCGTGGTGTTTACCCCAGAATTGCATAAAGAAAATGGGCGCCCGTCGATTTTGTTGGGGAAAGATTCTTGCCTTAGGCAACAACAAGAAGACGGTGGGGCTGCTTACAACCCCGAGCCCCGCACTATGAAGTCCGGCAGCCAGTCTCACAACACTCGAGCAGCACAACAGAAACAATCAGCCATGCCTCGCAGAAGGGCACTGCAACCACCAACGCCGGAAAACATACCTCCTCTACCTGCTGGGGCGTATAAGAAGTTATACTATTCCTACCCTGATACGGTGTATTACCTGCAAGATCGTGTGTTCTGTCGTCTCCGGGGGCGAACCCTTGACTAATGGCGCGTAGCCAACGACACTGAATGGAGCCGAGGAACCGTCGATCAAAGTACCAGTAGTACCACTCTTCATTATGTAGGAATGTCTTTGCTTCTCAGCAGATTTCGTATAACTAATGTTTGCTAGGTGATTGACGAGTCAGATGGCCTGATATATTCTGTCTACGCCCAGTACATCCGCAAACGGGCCGACGGGGACTAAGGTTTAGCTAAGTTATCTCACTGGCTCAGCAGAGAAATATAACGCATCAAAATGGTCCCTATAGGCTCTAGAGCCTCTACTCGTTACCTATAGGGAAAACCCGGTGGCCCAGGAGGAAACCTATATACAACCTTCTCATCTGCCTCGGCTAGCGGGCGGCCCTCGTCGCGGTGTTGAGCAAGATGGGTCGCAGCCGCCAGCCTGGTGCAGGTGGGAGACCTCCGTCCCAAACCGGGCCGGGTCGTCAGGTCCCGTAGGCGCGTTACACCCGAATAGCCGTCAACTCGCGCGCGGCACGGCGGAGACTCTATCCCGCTTATACCTCCTCCTCTTGGAAGCTCTTCTCACTGGTGTTCGGTCGGTCGCCCACGGCCCGCCAAGACCCCGAGTGTTGAGCCGTACTAGGGCGGGGGCACGCTTGATGCCATTATGGGAGCCGTTCGCAGCTGTTCGTGATTGGGAGCCGACAAGAGTAAAACCTTCACTGCTACCGTGTTCTCTTTCTACTCTCCGTCCGCTCGTGGTCGTATTGTTGTCGCGGCGCTGGCAGACCAGCTTCTTGCGAGGTCTGCTGCTACCTTGTAGCGGGTATTGACCGAAATTTGAGAAACCATCGGACGAGGGATGGGGCTGTGTCGGTCGAGACTCTGTTGTAGAGACGAGTTACGTGGGAACGGGTTGGGCGAGGAAACTCGGGGTGTCGTTCCTAGACCCTTCCGCCGCGGCCTGGTGGGGGGCAGCAATGCTACTCGGCGCCAGCTCACTTTCTGGCTGCAGTGGAGACGATTTTGCTTATCAATAAGGGGTTGCAACTCTTACAGCTCAGTACTACCAGGCAGCCAGATGCGAGGGTGCTGTCAATCACCCAAGACGTGGACTTGCTGCACTGTTGTGAAGACAGAATCGGCCGCAGGTACGGTAACGGGAACCCAGGCGCCCATGATCGGCGGAAGGGTCTAGGAGCGACACCCGCGCTTTCTGTACCCAACCTTCTCTCCCGAATTTCACTTATGCGACAGCTGGTAATTTGGTCTTATTCGAACGCGTAGGGTCCATGGCGCAAACCCGAAATGGCCGCGAGTGGCGACAGCGCTGGTGCATAGGCTCAACGGAGCCTCGTGAAGCTGTATGGCGTGAATGGACGAGAAGGTGGGAAAGAGAGCTGCGAGACACGAAGGCGCGCAACCCTCGTCGTACTCTCCAACCGTCAGACACCGAACCGCCCGGGAGAAGGCTAAAGGCCCACGCCGACCTCTACAAGCACGAGAGCTCCACGCTTATCCAGCTCCGCACCGGGAAGATAGGTTTTAACAGCTTTCTATCACAGGAACGTCCCCAGCGCGACGACCCCTCTGCCGGTGCGGTGGCGGGAAGAAACTGTGTTCCACGTCTTCCTCCACTGCCCCCTACAAGCTGACAACCGCAGGCTCCTCCCAGCCGCCCTCCGCACTGACGCCCTCGCACTGACGCCAACCTCCGTGCGCTCCTTATGCAAACTAGGTGCACGAGGGCTTCCGACCCAAGATGACCTAGGCGTTGGTGCCACCGTATGGCTTCTGCAGCGGACTCGGGTCTCGGCTGCGCGGATGAAGTGAAGGCAGTTGCCGACTGGGTGTGCGATTCGTAATCGACTTGGTTGTATTCGATGATAGGCTGGCGAAATCGCCTCTCTGTGCGAAAGATCGTCTTTCCGTCTCTTGAGACGGCGCCTGTTGCAGGGTTCCAATTGTATCCTCTTTTGAGAAAGAGATCAAGAGATGCAACGTTTGTGTGGAAGTTTGGGATGTAGGCGACGTTCTGCAATCTGAACTTATCTGAGCTTCCGATGCGGATGAGAACGTCTCCGTATCCGTGGATCTCAAGCAGTGTGTCTGCCGAGAAGGCTGCTTCAGGCTCATCGCAGGACTTGTACGTGCCTTCCGTAAAGCGTACCGAATTGTTGCAAATGTGAAAGTCCGATCCGGAATCCATGATGAACGAGTCACGGAGTGGATAGACTGGTGATGTTGAGAAGGCTGACTTGATCTGTGGATCGGGTGACTGCTCTTGCTCCTGGTCCTTCTCGCCTTGGTTCTTTTGTCCTTGGCTCTGAGTCCAGCGAAGGCAGTACCTCGGAATTCCGGTGATTCTTGTCGAGACTCTTCCTTCCTTTTACGATTCCTGATGGACCGTTCGATTTTGCCCTTGGTAGTAGGGTCTTTGAGCTTCTGATCGATTTCTTCCTGGACTTTGCTGTCCGGAGACCATCCTTCAGGTCGTACCGAGTCAGAGAGATATGGACATTCTGAGTAGAAATGCCTGTGACCGCAGAGGCACGGTGGTTTTCCTCCTTGGTTCCTGTTGGGTTTTGATGTTCGGGTTGTACCGGAAGCATCGGGCTCTCCTTCACCTTGGAAGGTGGAAAATGCACCTTTGGTGTCTGAGTTGCTGGTGGTTGATCGATACGATCGCTCGAAGATCTCACTGATCTTGATTCCGTCAGGGAAAGTCTTTTGCCAGTCGTCGTCCGGATTGGACAGGGCATTTGCTTCCATCTGATTGATCCAGACTTTGGAGAAGGTCGAGTCGATTGCGTTCACAGCTTTGAGGAAATGGCGAGTTGGTCGCAGGTCTTTCACGTCGGGTAGGTCGAGATTCTTGGCTTCGTTCAGGACGACTTGCCACTTCGAGATCCATTCTTCGACTTTGGACCGGCTGACTGCCTTAAGCGTTGCGTAGTATCGATCTGTGACTTCACTCTCCCGAGCCCAGTCGGTTGGTTTGACTCGGTTTTTCAGGATTGTGAGTTCCTTGGCCACATCATCTTCCTTGGCGATAATATCGTAGTATTTGCCAACGGTCTTCACGATGTGTTCTTGCAATTTTGCGAGTGCCTTAGTTTTGTCCTTGTAGGTCTGGAGCTGGCTTCGATGCCGTGCCTCAGGATCTGAAACTTAGTAAGGCTGTCCCCTTGCAGTTGGTGTATGCCGGTGGCATTTTCCTGCACTTCTCCTGGCGTTGGTTCGACTGGCGGCATCAGAGCCGGCTTGCGCGCAACGGCAGGGTCAATGAAATCCCAGATTTGTTGATTCTTCGCAAATTTGCGAACAATGCTGATCCATAGATCCCAATTACCGGGCCTTTGAGGTGACCCGGGAAGAGACTTCGAGGTCGTCAGCGGCCATTTTGGCGTGCTTATTGTTGGTGAGGCAAACGCAGTGGAAGCAATGTGTGTAGTAGAAACCCGGCTTAGCAGACCGGGCTCATAACTGTCACACAACAAGAGGCACGGACAGTATGGATGACTGAGCAACGATCGGGAAGGAGATCCTGTGAATCGGGCAACGAAAGACTCTTGATTCTCTATCTAAGTGATGGTGAAAAGTTGGCTTCTTATACTTGTGATTTTGGGCTGAGTGGCGATGTTGCCACCCAGGCAGCATAGATGACGACGTCACCTAGAAGGTTCGAATCCATCACTAATATGGCATTACGAACTGCTTGCTGCCTGTTAGGCAGCACAGTGAATGAGCATTCCGATCTTGACAGGCAGCAAGACCATCAACACCATCGCCACACACGCCGCCCTCGATTCAACGATTCAACTGGAACAATGTTTCAACGCCGAGACTCAACCTCTTTACGATTCAGAGGTATCACGCCTACGTACAGCTTCGTCTAGCCACATCAGTTGACTCCACATGCCGTTGACTCTCCGTCACATACGTCTATGAGAAGGCGCGGAAAGCCGACAAAACCCTCGCTCTCAACGGCATCACCGCAACGGCCGAGATGACGAAGATAAAAGAGAAACAAGCCAAGCGCTCCAGTCTCCAGCAACAGACAACTATTGTAGCGAGATACGGCCCATTAAGCGTCGGTGACGCTAGAATTCGAGTCGCCCGAGACGAATACAATGACAAGCGGCACAAGAAGAGGAGGCACAGAGAGTCAGGAATAAGGAGGTTCGCGACGAAGCTGGCTATATACGCCGCTGGCTTCGCAAGGTACGCTTCAACGTCAGGATTAGCATCACAGAGGCGAGGATTCGAGATATCAGAGGTCTCTGGGCCAAGGGCGACAAGCGCGCACACCTCAATTGCAATGAGTGGATGTGCGCAAGCTACAGGATTCTCCGCGAGCTACACAACCGCGGCGTAGGGCAAAGCAAGGCGATCATGTGGCCGGAGTACTATGATCGCGAGATTGTAAAGGAAGCAGCCGAATTAGTGGTGATGGAGGCAAATAAGCGTGCTATTTGCCGTCAGACGCTTTCTTGAAGCTGACGGCATCGAGATGCGATGAAGAGGAATCATAAGACGCGCTCGAGGCTGGGAAGGAAGAAGAAATCGAATAGAGCTCAATTCGATGCCAAAACACCAAAAACACCTCAAAGGCAGTATGGTGATGCATTTGCATTGCTATGACTAGCTTGCAATAAAGCGAACATGTGTTGCACTTATCGCGGGAAGAGAGGTACTTTTAAGTTCTAGCAAAATGGCGGGGCTCTTATGTACTTCTTTTTTTTCCAGGTCAACGAGCTTTTTCTAGGTCAACCGCCCCCCCGTGACTGTGGAGCTGTCACGGGGATTGGCCGACTTTGAGGCCCCCCTAGTAGTGCAACCGGTTTACAGCCTCCATGGCGTAGTGGTGACACGTCTGGAGCCTCTGCGTCGCAGAGGGGTCGGTTCGAAGCCGGCTGGAGGCACCCCTGAGCGAACAGGGTACACCCGGGTTCCCGCCCGTCAACAGGGAACAGCGTCATGAGAGAACACAATCGGCGTACCAACCACCATCAATGACTAACACAACCACGCTTCAACTTCGGCACATCGCGCTTCAGTTGCTGGGAATAGGATGCTGAACACTTGGAGAAATTGACCTTCAAGCAGGTCTGTCATGGAGCGAACAGTGGAATGGTTGGCGCAGCGTAAGATGATCTGTGGGGCTTGGGGAGTCAAGGAACAAACGTGTTGAACTGTACTCTAGACAGTGTAAAGGCCTTATAGGGACCTCCCTCCGGGCGAAATAAATCCTACTACTACTACCGGTTTACACTGATAGTGCACACTGAGCCATCAGCTCAGATCAAAAGCAAATCTAGAGAGTATCCAATTGGCCAGATCCTATTTCCGCCAGTTAAAATTCAATATTAATTGCTTTTGGCAGGCGTTGACGATCCAGTGTGCACTATCAGTGTAAACCGTTTGCACTATTAGGAGCCCTGATTAATGCATACCGCCACAAGACCAGCACCCCCCTGCCTTCTTCAGATACTCCTCCTTGCTATCATCGCCACCATCCTGTGCTTTGGACCTGTTGTTCCCTTTGTTCCATGCACTGCGGCCACGACCTGCGAATTGTGCGGTTTCTCCCTTGATTGTCGTATCGACGAGCTCCAATTCTTTGCTTTCCAGAGAGCTCTGCACCTTTTCCATTGTCAACGTCTCTGTCGAGGCGTTCAAGATCTCGACCGTAGTGTTAAAAGCGTCGTCCATGCTCATTTGCAAGAAGCAAATCAATAGCTGTTCATGGATAACAATGTCCTTGTCTTGGCTATTAATCTGAGCTCGAAGTCGCTTTAGGTCGTCGACCTTCTCCTGCACAGTTCTATTCGTCTGCGTACTAACGTCGTATAGCATTCGGATCAGCTGTCGAAGGCGCGCTTTGTTCGATGTCGCATATCGCTTAACGAGGGATTGATAAATTGCTCGTGGATCGGTGAGATGGTTGACTGAGTTCTTGTGGATCTGGTCAATACTCTGTCGTATTTTCATTCTCGCAAGAGAGACATTTTTAATGTCCGCAGCATTCTCTCCTGGCGTTGATAAATCTGACGATTCCGCTGTTGCCTTACCGGTGACGCAGCTCATAAGATCGTCACTCAACAAGTTATCTTCAAGATCCATCTTCCAGCTGTCAAAGGAGTCTCTTCCATCAAGGATGGTTCCTTTGTAGTCTTTCTTGCCCATAGTGCCGGGTCTTTGCTGTCAACCGTCGATTCTTGACGAAAAAGTGTTCTCATATGCCGAGTTCAATCGTGCAGTGGAAGCATAATAAAAGCAACCGGGCTCATAACCTGTTGCGATTGAACTTACTTCTATTCTATTCTGTCTGACAGCTCTCAACATACATATATACATAGCGGCACGTCCGTGCCACTATCCAGTGACTCACCACTTGTAGGTGCTGCCTAAACATGTCTTGGTCCATGTCTCAACACTGTTCTCAGGGATACCAAAATAATGGGCTCTCTTTCGTTTAGTGACGACCAATTGATCTTTGCCAACTCCGATCCGAAATCCGGTCTCGTCCATATTCCAGATATCTTCAGAGGGTATACCCTTCTCTTGGATGACCTTGTGGAGGCTCTGGAAATACTGATTGACGCGGGTGAGGTCTTCGGAGGCTTGACGCTCTGAGTGGAGCTTCTTTTGAAGCTTCTTGAAGTAGCCGTGACGTTTGAGAAAGCGAGAAGTCCACCTGCTACCAATAACGAGATCGGCTTGACCAGATCGCTGATGCAAGATGTGATTTGCCGCATCGGTGACGAACTCTGGGGGTACCGCAAGGTTGATATTATCAAGGCGATCGATGTAACGACACAAAGCCGCCTCTTCTGGTCGCGATAGCTTCAAATTCGTGGCTGGTCTGCCTGCTTTGGGACGACGGCCTTCAAGGCGGCATCGCAATCGATTGCGTGGTACGCCGAATTGCCGAGCAACCGTGGTCACCTTCGCACCAGAAAAATGCTCAATATATCGAAGAGCTTCTTGGATACGTGCTTCCATCTCTGCAAGTCAAAGGATTGTGATCTGGTTGAAGTGTAGGTGATTGAAGTTGGACGGTGAAAAATCTGGCTATTGCGGTGTACTGGCTACTGCGGTGTCCAGCACCAGCTTTTTTTTTTTTTTTGTATTGCGCCCGGAGGGTTCCCCCATAGAGCCACTACGCTACGGCAGGCTATAGGGGTGACTGTTGCAAAACCCCAAAATCCGTCACCCAAGTGTCGAAATAGGTTAGCGGCATGGACATCCTGCCCCGCAGTACACTGCTCCATGTACCTCAGCGTTTATCTCTTTGAATTTTGTCACGTAGCAGAAGGTGCCAATACACCAGGGGCAACATCAACGCTCAATTGTTCACCTCCTCCTCGCCTTCCTCTTCATCGTCCTCCTCGTCCGGCTTATTGAGCTGCTGAGCATGGGGTTAGTAGTGGAAATGTATCTGACGACTTAATCCCGCTCACAACCCAGAGCCGAGCAGCCTCGGCAATGGTCTCCAACGCCATAATCTTTCGTTCCTCGGGGCTCTTCTCAGCTCACCTCGTCATGTGGGCCTGGGAATGCTGGTGTATTTGACCTTGCCAGATGCTGGGATCGAAAAGGGTTGGCCAAGCCGCACCGGCCACAATAGTTCGCGCCGACATATATGGTGGTGAAGAGGTCATAGTGTTTCTTTCCGGCTTGGATGCAATAGAGATGCTCTGGGGGGAGGTTTGGATGGCCCATTGTGCTTGAATGAAGAGAGTAAAGACTCAAGCAGGAGGTAACTGTGCTAGTCCGCTGCTAATCCGCTGCGAATAACTGCAGTAAGCCGCTGCTGGCTTGGGGCGTTGCGCATTGCTAACACGGCAGGGACAATGCAACAGAGGCTGCAATCAGAAGGTCGAGATTTCGACTCGGCCCCGACTGGTGGCCATTGGGCTGTAAAAATACCTCGGCAATTCCGGCGGCGTTGCCATTAATTCGGCTTGCATTTTTCGTTTGTATAGCGTGGGCATTTGCAAGTTTTCTAGCACTGCATCTAGGGTAGGAAGCTGGGCGACTTCGCTGTTCTTTCTCCCGGTCGCTGTCCGATTCCATGACAATGGCAAACGAGAACTGTTTGGTGAAAAAACGTGTCGCTCACTCAGATCCACCCGAAAACAATCAGTCACTTGGTCAAGTCTGGGCTCCGAGAATTGCACTGTGAGCTTTATGTGCCAGCGGTGATAGGTTGACTACTGACCTCTTTACAGTATTACTGCTTTGACTGGCAGTTGGACTCCCAGAAGATCAACGCGCGGTCCGCCGCTAGTCCGCAGTACATTTTAAATGCCGACTCGAAGTACTCAAATGACTAGGGGGAAAATCGCCTAGACCAAAAAGAGATGGACAGGGGGTTTTGCAACAGTCCCCCCTATCGCCCACCGTACTACGCTAAGCTACGTACCTACTGTACCTGGTTCCATCGCACCTGAAGCCCCACGCTTCTTTTCATCTGTTTCCAGCCTCGTTCGCTGTGACATGACAGGCCTACTTGAAGGTCAGTTTCTCCAAGTGTTCAGCGTCCTACCTTCAGCGACTGAAGCGCGGTCTGCCAAGTTTAAGGCTGTTGTGTTAGTATGATTATCCCTTGATCAGTACATGGTCCCTCGTCGGTCCATACTGAAGCGTTTTGTTGCCAATGCGAACTGTATTGTCGCCCGTACAGCCCCCATATCGGGCTGCCACTTGTCGTCGTCTGACTCTGCCTTGCCTCCTAGGAAGAAAGACAGGTTTCCCATCTTTCCGCGAGCATATCGAAGCATGATTTCTCGTTGTACCGTCCATCTTCTGCATCGAAAGAGGAAATGTTCCACCGTTTCCGCCGACTGTCCGCAGGTGCACTCATCCGATTCCTCTGCCCCGATTTTGCGAAGGTAGCCATTCAGTCGTGATTTGCCAGTTCGAAGTTGTACCAACACTTCAGATTCCTTTCTAGTTAGCTCGTCGTACATCTTGCGGGTGTGCTTGCCCGGCAATGCTTTATCGATGCGCTTTGAGTGCTTTCAACCCCTTCTGGGATCTGACGAACGCGAGTGTGTTCGTTGAGCAGCAGTCGTAACGTCGTTGCTCTTGCCTGAAACGTTGCTGGTTCAGCGATGCATTCATCTCGCGTCGCTCTTTTCGCTTGCATTTTGGCCAGTGGCCCTAGAGTGAACTCCTCATTCTTTGCAGGCACCCAGCGAAGTCTGACTCTGCAGCCTCTTTTCGCCAGATACTCAACAGATCCGTATATCGCCCGTATCGTGCACTGACCAGACTGCTGCCGTGGCCGCCCGATGACTTGCAGGACAGAGCGGTTGCTTGTCACAACTGTGAGCTCTCGGTCATGAAGACCTAGAGGCACACACCTCAGGGCCATGGCGATTGCCTCGAGTCCTGCTGTGTAGGCATTCTGCTCATCACTGGAGCCGAGAGTGGCGGAGTAGCTGGCCAGCACCCCGTCTGCGCTGTCGCGGGAAGCATCCCGAACGACGCCTCCCAACCCGACCTTGCCTTTCCTTTGAGAGCTGGACGTCGCGATAGTGATGCCCTCCGAGTAATCCGGCTTCACCACCTCCACTCGGTCTGTCTTATCCGTTACCTGCACTCGGTCCTCCCACGGCGCCAGTGCGAACTCGTGGATGACTTCCAGGCGCTTGGTGTCTATTCTTCCCATCGCCGAGGCGAGCTTCTGCATTGGCGAAGCATACCTCCTGTTCAGCTTGAGCCTCAACGATGTCAGAGGATGCGTCTTCGGGAGCGTCCGCATCCTTATCCAGAATTTCGTCGCTGCTTGAGTGTGCCGTTCTCGAACTGATTGCACTCCGGCCTCGGCCTCGGCCACTGCCGTTGCAACTGTGCGGAAGCCTCCGTGACTGCCTGGGCTCCAATTCGCTGGGCCCTGCCAATCCACGACGCTTCTTTCGCCCCGCACGCGTGCGACCACACGTTTGAAGCATAGTCCATGGTTGGCGCCACGGTCGCGACGAACAGTTGCCTCGCCATCCGTGGCGAGGCCATCTTCAGTCGTTTCAAGCACATGGCCGCGGCCAGCCCCTTGGCGGCCGCACTGGCGATGTGCTCTTTGAAGCGAAGCGCTTTGTCCATGATGACTCCCAAGAGCTTCACGTTCTTCTTCGGCTTGATATCGTTTCCTTTGATGGTGAGGGCAATTCGCTGTCGCGCTCCGCGATGCGTGTGAAGTGGATGACGGATGTCTTATCCGCTTCAAACGTGGCGCCGCTGCGCTTCTCCCAATCGAGCGCATCCTCGATAATCGACTGAATACCATCTCTGTTCGACTCTGCCGTTGGTCCCGTGACCCAGGCAGAGTAATCGTCCACAAAGGCGATGGACCCACCGTTGTTACTGATCCGTCTTTGCACCAGGTCCGCGTTGAAGAAAAGAAAAGCCACTGGCGACAGTGGCGATCCCTGTGGTAGACCGGCCTGCGGCAGGGCTTGGTGCTCGGATGTGTGCCCGTTGACAACCACCGACGCGGTCCGTTCCGAGCAGAATGCGTCCATCCAGACGACCAATCTGTCCGGGATGCCTTGCTCTCATCCTGTCAAGCAGCCGCTCTTTGCAAACTCCATTGTATGCCCCTTTAACGTCAAAGCTGATGAGGCTTAGCACTCTGCCCATTCTCCACGCCTTGTAGATCCGCTCCTGCAGAAGCACTAGTGCTTGGTCTGCCGATCTACGTTTCCTAGCGCCGAAGTGGTTCGCGGGCAAAAGCCCATGGGCCTCAACTGCGTAGCTGATGCGTTCTGCTACGACTGCTTCCAGAATCTTGCCAAGGGTCGACAGAAGAGAGATCGGTCGCCACGCCTTGGCCAAGGTATAATCTCCTTTACCAGGTTTCCTCAAGGGAATGATCTTGGCCGTTCGCCATTGATGAGGCACCACGCCCTCTCGGAGCGATGAGTCGAAAAGCGTCCACACCGGACCTTGACCACGTGCCAGAGCTTCTTCCAAACCATCGCAGGAAGACCGTCCTCCCCAGGCGCTTTCCAAGGCTTCGCCGCCATCACCTTATCCCCAATCTCTTGCAAGGTGAGGTCCGGCATGGCTATCTCTTCTCTTTGCGGACGTTCACCCTCCGGTTCGATCCTCGTTGGCAGAGGCGGGAAGAAGGTGCTCAGGAGCTCCTCTGCTTGCTCGCCCTTGCCTTCGGTGATCGAGCCGTCGGCTCTCTTCAACGGCGGCACCTTGTCATCTGTCATCTCCGTACCAGACTTCACATACTTGACTGCCTTCCAGATGTTGCTCTCGTCCGTGACGAAGTCATCCCAATGGGCCTTTTTCTGTCTCCGCAAGTTGTCGTGGTACTCCTTGGCAGCCTCCTTGGCGCGTTGCTCCAGATCCGGCCGTGACTGGCCGGCTCGTCGCTGTGCCCTCGCTTGATTGCGCCAGTACGTGTATGTCCGCCGCAGTCGTGTAAGGTCCTTCGTCCACCATCGTTTCGCGTAAGGCGGCGGCTGTGCCCGGGTGTCAGATCGTGCAGCACCTTGGTGACCACCCGCATGAGCTGATCCGCCTGCGTCTGCACCCCCACGTTCCACGGAAGAGGTCGAAGCTCGTCCTCGACCCTGGCTGCGATGGCGACCCACGGCGCGTTCCTGAGCAGCAGGCGCTGCGGAAACATTCGCTCCGGTACTTGAATGTCAAAGGTCGTCTGGATCGCTCTGTGGTCTGATCCGTGCTCTGTCGGGTGAATCACGCAGGATATCACCTCGTCTGCCAGTTCTGCCGATGCCAGCACCAGGTCGATGGTGCTCTCCTTGTCCGGCCCTGCCACGTTTTCGTCCCTCTCGGGAGAAGGCTGCAGAGACCAACGTCGTCCATCAGGTCAACGATGGGCTGACCTTCCCCTTGTCTTCTCGCTGACACCTCATCTCCGCCCCAGAGGAGATCGTGGCGATTGAAGTCCCCCGCCAGAACCATATCTGTGCGGTTTCCTGTTCCATTGCGGAAGCGATCGATCACGTCGCGCAACACCTCCATCGCGCTCGCCAGCGCCTCGTCGTTCTTCCCTTCCACATACACTGACACCACCATCACCTCCCTCCTCTCGAGTCGAACTATCGCTACTGTAAGGTCAGCCGACGGCACGGATACTTGCTCTGCCTCAAGGTCACTTCGGATCCAGAGCATGCTGCGGATCGGCCATGAGGCGTCACGAACACACGTCGGAATCATCTTTGTCCAGTTACGATGTCCCATAGGACTCGTCACCACCTTTCCGTCGATATTGCGCGCATGTGGCTCAGATATAGCCAGTGCGACAAAATCCTTCAGGTCTTCGTCGTTCATCAGACTCTGCTGCACCACATCACTCTTGTGTGCATTCAGCTGTAGGATGCGGAGGGACTCAAGCATCGCTGCTCGGGTTCCTCATCCTGCACTTCCAGCTAAACGACTCATGCGGTCCGCCGCACGGGACGCATTTGGCTCAATCGCTGTGCACTCGGTGGTGATGCCCAGCGTTTGCGCACTTGCCGCATGTCCGCTGCTTCTTGCATGAATATGCTTTGTGACCGATCTCCTGGCAATTGAAGCATTGGATCGGTCCCGTTCTTGGCTCGAACGTATAAGTGGTGGCCGACTCTCCCGCTAGGTCAAAGTAGTAACCGTCCAGAAGCCTTTCTGCATCGCTTTTCTTGGTGACGTATACTACCATGGATCCGTAGGCTTTACCAGACTCTCGTTTGCTCAGCCAGGAAATCTTGCCAATGGTCACTCTGTTTTCCGCACTCAAGGCTTCGATCGCTCCGGGCAGGACATTGCCCTCCGTGTCGAGGATAGCTGTCCGGTTGGCGTTGTCGACCCGGACCGGATACAGCTGGTCTCTCATGACTCGCGCTCCCTCCACGGCTGTCTTCTGCGCCGCCTCTTTGACCAGCTGAAGCTCGGCTTCGTCTCTGCAGACGATCTTGACTCGGTCAGCGTTCCGGGATTCTCTCACAACTGCTGCGCACCTCCAGGTCTCATGTCCGTTCTTCGCTCTCATCTCAACCTCGATGGCCTGTCGTATCTGCCCGATTTGCGCTTTGTTCCTGTTCGACTCACTTACACGAGACGTGTCAATGGTACAATGGACAGACTCGTTGGTTGTCTGCTGTTTGGTTGGACCAGGTATGCTGCGTGTACTGGAGGGCGGGCGGTTTGGCAGGGCGCGCGCGACGTCCGCAAACGTTGTTCGAGGGCCGCTTGGCAAAGTCACCTCGCCCGATACATCCAGCTTTTGCATCAGCTGGTGTAGCTGCTCTTTCACTCCAACCAATTCTCTCTTAAGATCCCGGTGCTCCTGTTTCATTTCCTTGTCGTGCTCTTCGCTCTTACGTCGAAACTCTTCCTTGGATTCCTGGACCTGGGCTTCCAAGCCTCGGATCAGATCTTCCTGTCCCTGAATGATAGTGCTTTGCTTGTAAACCGTGGCGCTCAGCTTCCTGATCGTGTCGCTTTGCTCGGATACTCGATGTTTCAGCTCCACCATCTCACTTCCCATCTTCGCCAGCATCTCTAGAACCCTCTGCATCATCGATTTGGCGGTCTCCGCATTGCTGCGTGACTTCACCTCGTCGCCTCTTTCGCTTTCGTTGCCCACCGATATGACTCGCGTCGTTCGGGTCGAGACACGCTTGGGAGCTCGCGGTCGCATTTTCCAGCGTTCGTAACGTATCCTGCACTCGTGCGCTGGGCGTCATCCTCGCGTCGGACGCGTCAATGGCGACGGGCTGTTGGATCCAGCCCCGCCCCACGTCGGCCGGAGGCGCCATTTCAGGCTCTGCCATGATGGCAATCAAGAGCCACACCTACCCCAGAGTAAAGAAATATGAAGAACTATAGTAGAACGTCGAGGAGCGTCGAGTCTCTCGCGCAATCCCTGCACCAGCTTATGGAGCTGGTGAGGAACGAACGCGAGATTAAGTGGGGCGTGGCACGGGTAGGGGCCGTAAAGTTGCGAACTTTACGGCCCCCTAGTACTGTACACTCGTCCACTACTGTAGAGGAGTAGAATGTGGCGGAGCTACGGTCTGCATCTGCAAGGCCGCATGACTCACACCACCCATGCCGGCCAGGGAACAGTTGGAAGCAACATCCCACCCCTTCGTCCTATTGTGGCTGTTCTACCCCGGACGCATGTGGAGCTGTCGTGCATAAGCCGTCAACCAACCTGCAGCAACACGTCCACAACCTTCCTCACATTGAGAACCAACAGCGATATTTGGAGCAACGCGGAACTGGATGCCGATTTCGTCCGTTTGCCCGCCGCGCCAGGACAGCATCGCTGTTGGTGTGCATGTACCTAAAAGTAGAGTTCTTGAAATGCATCTCGAAGCGGACGCGGTCTGGCAAGGTGGATTCTGGCTCTTGGTCACTTTCTCACCAACGACTCCGAGACCCCGCGTCGCCCGCCTTCATTTCCTTCCTCTTCTCATCTTCTGTTATACTTTACAGTACCCCGTCACTATCATCTCTACATTGCCCCCATCCGCACAGCCGTCGGCGGGAGGCCAGGCGCCCGCACCCTTGTAGCTGGCCATTGACACGCTCATGTTATGATTGAATCAACGGCGTCTCAGCTCCTGACACAGCAAGTCATATGGACAATACTGTATGTGACGATTGAGCAATGATTGGACAGAATGTCCCCCACTAATGAGCTGTTGCACTGTTGTGAAGCCAGAATCGCCCGCGGGTACGGTCACGGGCACCCATGATCGGGGAAGGGTCTAGGAGCGACACCCGCGTTTTCTGTGCCCAACGTAAGTTACCTTCCCTTGCTTCATACGGTCTAGGTACAGGATAATAAAAATCGCGTACAGGACGGCTAAGGGCTCGGACATGCTATCTATGCATGCCACCCGAAAAGGGGGCGTGCAGACTTTAACCTTGTGCGAGGCTGACCCTAGCAGAATCAGGGTTTGTGCAGTGAATCTGGCTTGCAACCTGGGCGGAGCCTGCCCATAATTCGCAACGGGGTCAGGGCAATGTTTGCAACTTCAATCCTAACCGGTTAGGGCCTTGACGGATGCCACCATCCACCGCCAGCACAGCTTGGTCACAGGTTATGAGAAAGCTCTGCTTCTCAAAGCTCTCTGGGCGATGTTATGCAGTAATAGCCTGCCGCTCAGATCCCACAACTCAGACCTGGCTCAGTCGCACGATCCGCATGACTGACCGCAGGTGCTGTAGCATTCGGGGTCACACACGGTCCCAGGACACACACGGTCCCAGGACATACACGGTCCCAGGACACACACGGTCCCAGGACACACATGGTCCCAGGACATACACGGTCCCAGGACACACCGCATGACTGACGGCAGGTGCTATAGCATTCGGGGTCACACATAGTCCCAGGACATACACGGTCCCAGGACACACACGGTCCCAGGACACACAACGGTCCCAGGACACACACGGTCCCAGGACACACACGGTCCCAGGACACACACGGTCCCAGGACATACACGGTCCCAGGACACACCGCATGACTGACGGCAGGTGCTATAGCATTCGGGGTCACACATAGTCCCAGGACACACATGGTCCCAGGACACACACGGTCCCAGGACACACATGGTCCCAGGACACACACGGTCCCAGGACACACAACGGTCCCAGGACACACACGGTCCCAGGACACACATGGTCCCAGGACACACACGGTCCCAGGACACACACGGTCCCAGGACACAATTGGATCCCAGGACAGGACACACATGGTCCCAGGACACATCTGGGGTCTCAGGTCTCATCGAAGCCGGCCGTCGCCATTTCGACATCGTCCTCCCCGTGGCCGGCCATGACTCTCCGCGATGCAGCGCGGCGGTCGCTTTCCCGGACCACGGTTATATCTTGTACCGGTATGCTTTGGATGATCCTCTCCCTCCTTCGAAGCACTCATCTGCTGCGACTTGATGGCCCTGACCTGATTTTGCGGTGGTAGTGCGGCCCCGGAAAATACCCGCCCTACATATTTATCCGTCTCGCCTCGTTCCGGGTTACCAGGCGGCCTCCAGCTCGGCCGTCGAGCGCAGCACGGATTGTTGGAACCGACAGAGCTGTTGCATCATCGCCATGAGCTCCGGCGACTTAGCCGCCATCTGATTCGAGTCCACTGCACCTCGGACAACGTCGATCAGCCGCGTTGCGTTTCCGATGCTGATAGACTGATACGTCACTGTAGATTCTGCGCCCGCATCGTCCCTCCCACGTGTCCGACCGTCGGATAGCCATCTCCGGAGGTGGATGCCCATCTCTTGGCGTCGCGTTCTGCGTCTTCGGCTGGTCGTCGAAGCAGTTGCACGTTATTGATGAGACATGATATTCTCGGAGCCAGCGCCTTTCGCGCCCGCGCCCAGATGCTGTTGATGTCGCCCATTTCTTCGCACAGGAAGAGCTCCCATGGTACAAATAGCGCAAGTTGCTGCACGGCTGCCTTTCAATGGTGAAAAAAAAATTGGGATCTCCCATATCCGCCGGCGAAACGGTTTCCGCATAATCCCCCGACGACACGAATCCTCATCGTCGTGGGCAAAGTCCTGCTCAGGTCGCCGTCAAGGCAGACGGTGGCCTGCTTTCCCGGCCGCCTGAGCACCTGAACCCAACGTCTTCCTGGCGGCCGCCCATCCTCGACAGGGCCTCTCCCAACCTGCACAGCTCCCGTCGTTGCTATCGCGTTTGAGTCTGACGAGCGATACGTAGTCGTACAGGTACAGGCCTAGCAGGAGCTCTCCACGGTGCTGATATGCCTTGACGTGGGAGCTCCTGAGGCCTGCTTCTTCGACGACGATCGACCCATCCAGGGGATCATCTGCCAAGCCTCTCGCTGCGAGCCGTTGTAGAAACCTGTTTTTGAACACTTCGTTATACGCGCCCTTGACGTCGAAGCTCACAAGACCAAGCACTTTTCCCATTCGCCATGTTTTGTAAATGTTCTCTTGCAGGAGCACGAGCCTGCTCTGCGAAACCCCTCTTCCTGGCTCCAAAGCGGTTAGTAGGCAACAGCCCAAACGTTTCCATCGCAAAGGAAATCCGCTCGGCCATCTGTTGCGAAGACCATTGCGCCACGCAGGCAAAGTGGAACGCGCTCGCTGCAATTGACACATATCTGATGTCTGTCTTTCTTCCCGACACCATCACCGCCTCCAGAAGACTCCAAATGGGAGGGTAAAATAGTGTACGCCTGCGACCGGAACAGACTGCCACCGAAGACACAGTCGAACGAGCACGCCAAACCTCTAGTCGCAAAACGGGTTACAAGTTCTCAATATTAGCTAAAGAGTCACTAGATGGACACACTTGGACTCTCAGCCATCGACCAGACAAGGAGTGCGCTGAGCACAACCACTCACCAAGCGGGGACCCGTCGGCGCGCCCAGTGCATCGCCGACTCGAAGAGCGCGACGCTACAAATATTTCAGATCTTGTGGCGTCTGGTAGTCCTCGGGATATCATAACATACCTTCATAACCATTCGAATACCTTGCCAGCCAACGAGACATTTACAATCGGATTGCGGCGACGAGAAGGGACCTACACCAAGGCCGGAGCAGCATTCAAGCACTGGTTGGTCAGCTGCATAATGAGGGCATCTGGTGCCGGGTTCGAAAAGATGTAGACAATCGTTTGACAGGCATATTTTTCGCCACCCGGATTCTGTTGCATCGATGCGTCGTATATCTGTAGGATTGTGCACTGGCCAGACTGTTGGCGTGCCCGCCTGATTACCTCCAATGCCGAGCAGTTGCTCGTCATGATCGTCAAATCTCGGCGACGCAGTCCAGCCGGCCAGCGCCGTTGCCACTGCCGCGATTTCTGCTATGTACCGGTTCTGCTCATCCCTCAATCCGAGGGTGACCGAGTAGCTGGCCAGCTCGCTCGTGCTGTTGAGGCTAGTGTCGTGAACGACACCTCCCATTCCAACCACGCTCTGCGAGCTGGGAGTGGCGACGACGATATCTTCCACGTCGTTTGGCTTGACCACCTGTATCTGATCCCGCTCGCCCACGACGCGGTCGTTCCGTGGTGCCAGAGAGTACTCGTGGATGATCTCCATTCGCTCTGTGTCTGACTCCGCGATGATCGAGGCAATCCTTCGCATCGACGAGACGAGTCGCTTGCTCGCTCTGACCTTTGATAGCGTCCGCAGGCTGATCTAGAACCTCGCCGCGACTTGACCGTGCCGTTCTCGAAACGATGCGATGCCGGCCTCAGCCTCGGCTATCACTGTTGCAACTGTGCCGGAGGCTCCCGTGACAGCCTGTTCCCCAACCTTCTGGGCCCTGTCTAGCTAAGCCGCCTCTCTCACGCCGCACGTCTGCATCCACACACTGGAGGCGTAGTGCATGGTTGGTGCTACCGTCGCGACAAACAGTTTTCTCGCCATTTGCAGGATATCGTCTTCAGTCTTCGCAAAGACATGCGGCCGTGAGCCCTTTGGCGGCCGCTCTAACTATCTGCTCCATGCACCGAAAGCTTCGTGCCCATGACCACCCCTAGGAGTTTCACGCTGCTCTTCGGTATGACCTCTTGTCGTTTGGTCATGAACGGTGTGTCGCTGTCGCAGGTGCGCTCCATTACTCTTGTGAAGTGAATGATAGTCGTTCTGTCCGCTTCAAACGTTGCGCCGCTGCATCTTTCCCACTGGAG